TTTTCAATAATGTTTGCAATTGTATTTATGTCATTTCTTTGTTTATTTTATTTATTATTTGTATCAAAACTGTCGTCATGTTCAAGTTTATTACAAACTGCTCAAATGCTTTTTAAAATGACATTAATCAAATGTGATGCATCAGAAATAACCGGAGCTGATGCTTTTCTTGGTCCAATCTGTTTTATTTTATTTATATTTCTAGTTGTTTTTGTTTGTTTAAGTATGTTTCTTTCAATAATTAATGATAGTTTTCGTCATGCGAAAGAGAATCAAAAAGAAGATAAAGTTATGCTATCATTTATGTTGAAGAAATTTTTACGATGGACAGGTACGTAGATTTTTATGTTTTATTCAGGTCAGTTAGAATCTCATTGATATCCTATAGTAGATTTAATAGGATTTCAAGACTGCAACTTAGACCTCTTTATATTAGATGACTTCAGAGCTTCTCTTGAGGGTATGGGTGGATGTGAGTGTAACTGAAAAAAAGACTTTGACACTTACTCTCAAAACTGATGTATCGTAGTAACACATAACTGGCTATTAACATTTTAGGTTTAAAAACATTAAATCAATCAGAAATTCAAGAAGAACGAGATTGTCGAATGCGTTCACAATATTTCGATCCAATTGAAAATTTTCCTGATAGAATGGATCAATTACTAGAAGCACTCAATAGAGTATGTAGATATTTATTGTATCTTTTACTTGAAATTATTTGCCTTTTTTTTAGATTTATATTGATCAAAAAATCGAATTATCAAGACTGGAAAAAGCTGGACTTTAAATATTATCTTTTAAAAACTTACTAACATTTATATAATGAACTCTAACTATATTTTAAATCTTTTTTTCGAAATAAATCTTTAAAATTGATCATATATTCGATGTCTGTAACGTAAAATTGTATGATTCCCGTTCTCGAACAAACGTAAATATATCTGAAAGTTTGCTTTTATACATCTTTAGACGTATTAATGATTCAATATCTCGCCTCTCCCTACTGTAAGAATCTGCTTGTAATTTTTAGTTTAGATTTTGAAGAACGTTTTTAAGCATCAAGATATTCTTCTTCCAGTGACTTTCGTTCTACTAGTCTTGTATATCGTAATTGTAACGTATTCTTATCTCATGTCTGACGTTTTTCTTCATATACTCCAAAAATATAATTACAGTATATAGATTTTACAATATTGAATAGCTTTCAGTAGTCTATATTTTTCATGGAAAGTATGTTCTATTGACTTCAAAATGTGAAATATAATGAAGCGTAAACTATTTCTTTTCTTAACTCAAAAGTTTGTTCATTATCTATTGACAATAACTGCTATAAGATTCTTAAAAATGCAAAGATACTTTTCTTCTTAAACGGAATAATAAACTTTCGGATATCGACGAGACGCATACTCCTTTGAATCTTATTACTGGCAGCGAAAGAATTAACAATGTAAAAACAAGTTGTTCACTATGTTATCAGACAGTACAACAAACTGTCAAACAATCAAAAAAAACTGAAAGAAACATATATCTCGATTTAAATCACAAGATCGATTGACTCAATTATCCTCAAGATGATTTTATGCGGGACGTTGGATTTCAGTGAAACGATTAGCCTAATTAAACTAATTATGTATATAGCGGAGAGTGAAATCGGATGCTCATCCGTAACGATTTTTATCTGCTCAATACTCGTATTGTTAACTTCACTCCAATATGTAGTTTTTCGTTTTATTTTTTTTACTATTTTCTTCTTTATAGTCTTATTTTTCAATGGCTTTCTCTATTAATTTATGCTCATATTATAATGTAAATTCTGGCATATTCACCAAACTAGACAAAAGTCAGATACGATCTTATAATGCTAAAACATGTTATAGGACTACGTGTGCACAATTTAAACAATTCAGCATAGAAATCGAATATTCTCAAGAAAAGCTAAGAGTAAATATTGCATCACAGTTTCAATATTCTAGAAAAAATTCTTGAAATATCGTACTTACGATAAAACTGAAACAAAAGAAACATTCTCCTTTATTTACCCACCAGCGACATCCCCAACTGAAAATTTACTGTCATTTTCCAATGAAGAGCCTAAATTATCATTACCATATCAACCTCGCAATTACGTTTCAAATTAACAGCTATCAAGTTAATTTACTGAAGTTTATTCGAAATACAATAGATCTTGCATCGTTAAATTGAAATTAAGAGAATCTTATTAATATTGTTTCTGATATATATAAAAACAATTGAAAAACTTCTGCACTGATAATGACCTGACTCAATTTCATTTACTCCAGCATCATATTGTTCTTCGATCAAAATTAACCCAAAAAAGTCCAACACTTGCGCAAACATTAGTCAAATGTGGTAAGTTAGGAAAATTAAAAAATAGTTTACACATTTCCTATGTTTGTAGCCTCACATTTATGCGATACAAAAGGCTGCATATAAGAAGAACATCTAATTCTCGAAATACTCCACACCAATCATTCAAGGCAACACTATTCAGTCTCATCAAAACGTCTTGGTGCCCAAAAATACAATAAGATAAATTTTCTCGATTCTTTGCTATGGATTATTTTGGTAAATGGATTCAGGACGCTGATTTCTGATGCAGTATTCCGTGAATTTCTAGCAAAAATCGTCAGAAAACTCATCATTTTCGACAGGAACCCTGCTGATAGATGTCAAGAATTTGATTATGATATCGATTCCCGGTAGAACCGAACGAATTGAGTGACTAGATCCGTGGATAAAACTTGTCAATTTCTCGTTTGATAATGATGTATGTCGTTATAAAGCTAGCAGCGGACCCGTTGAAGGTATCGATCGTATGATTCAATAAATATTTAATATTATATCAACTCATAACTATTTCCTCATTGATAAATCCGATTGAAGGCTTATGTCTTTAAACACACTAGTATTTCTATCAGATGAAATAAATGTTAGTATCGAATTACAAAATTCGAATTTAAATCGTACAGCTTCTGGTAATCTGTTGAAAAGCGTCGATCGTGGTATCTTTGTCTTTTGGAACTTTCACACATTTTACATATCTTTTTTAGAAACATCATCATTCAGAGATAATAAAAACCATCTTGAGGGTGTGGATGAAATAAAATACCCAAACCCATACCCACGCCCTATGGATTTTCATAACTTCAAATCTAAAGAATAGATTACAATTAGAAATGTTCATTAGATTATTATTTTTCTATTGCAATATCAAGTGTAATAACTATAGATATAACCTTTGATTATTAGTTTCTATCAAATCTGTCTACTCGTATATATATATGTTTTCTTCTTTTCTTTTGACATTAATTAATGATCATAGGATAGATAAGTGAAGAAATATGATTTCTTTCTTCTTGTCTCATTCTCATGTTATTTTTGTACAATTTCATCTGAGATAAATATATTATATACACACAAATATATAGTACTATACTTGTTACTCTTCTCATTATTTGCAGCAACAAAATGATGAAAGTCAATGGTATTTCATATATTTCAAATAATTCAATCTTACATGAACAATGTCTAAGTATACAAAGAACTTATCAATATATGTTTAATACATTTATATCCTTATTGGTAAGAAAGAAAACCTTTTTTTATTTATAATTAGACACTATTAAATTAAATAAAAAACTATTTGTATAGATATTGGGTTTTATTCATTTACCATTGAATACATATTCATTAAGAATGAGTAATTCATCGTGGACAATTGCTTATTATAGACATATTTATATTATAATTATTAATATAATTTTGATTATTTTATATGGATTTGGTTTGTATGTTCTTCATCAACATTCTCGAACAGGATTACTTATAGTATATTATTTAATATTCATTTTTGTGAAAAAAATGACAATTTGATATTTATTTTATAGTTTGGTTGGTTAGTTACAATTGTTGATGTGATTGCTACTATTGCTGTATTATTTATTTTCTTTGTTACTATCTTTCTGATTGCACCCATATCATTTTATACTTTTGAAATATTAACTGGTCTTTTTCTATTTACAATTCTTTTTGTTGTTGGAATGATCACTATGGTAAAGTTTAAATTTTATATATTTTATTTTATTTTGTTTTATTTTTTGCAAAGGTCATTTCAATAAAACATGCATTTAATCTATCTAAATTAATCAAGAATAATAAACGATTGACGATTGAAATCTAATTAAAAACTATTTTATTAATATTAAAATATCTCTCTCATTATCTAAAATAATACACGAACTGATATTTCTAGATAAAATATAAGAAATGATTCGTATCTTTACATTTCTCAAGTTATGAACTATGACGATTTATTATAAATAGTTCGCTAAAATATCGAATAGCCATGATATATTCTTATGAATGATCTCTTGATCCATTATGAGATCAGGTACAAGGAAATTGATTGTATGTATAGAAACATTCGAAAATGCCTCGTGATCTTTTGGCCATTAAAACATGATCGAAATAATACAGTTCTTGAAAGAAAAATGACACTAATTGTCTTATTGTCTTCGACAAATTATCATACATTTTAAAATCGATGAAGATAAAAAATAAAAGTATAATATTGCTTGTTTTATGAATTGATCAATGTTTGTATTGAATATAAATTTTATGCATTATTTGATAAGAAATAAGTCATTAGAAAAACGGTTCAAGAAAACGATCGTATTCATTATTAAAAACTGAAAATGAAAGTCGAAATTTATAGATAATGATAAAGGGGAATATATATTATATTAATTTCAAATTAAAGACAACCTATACTCTTTAAACTACTTTAAAAAGATATGTAAAACAATTGTGTTTGTAGTAAACAATATATTCATTAAACTTCAAGAAAAAAAACATTTGTTGCATAATAGTGCAAGACATCATAGAGGATCATTTTCTTCTACAACATATCTGTCTATGATAAAAGGACAAAAAGGTTATAGATAAGACATTTACACATTTTATTAGTTTCTTGTGCGATGCAGTTTTATCATCTTATTTTACTTGTAAGTATTTCTGTTTGTCCTATATTGGTAAAAAGTGAAATTAAACCGGTACTCATAAATAAATTCGAATTAGCACATGCCGGGTTTTCAACACTTTTACGTACATGGACATTAAATTCAACATCATGGGCTTTGGTTATTTCTTGTTTCAATCCAATTCCAGGAACTACAGATTATGTTTATAATGTAGCTAATATAGAATGGCAATTAACAACAAAAATTACACCAACAGTTTTAACAAATCAAATAATATGGCCGAATGGCATTGTACCAGCAGATACATTACTTCCATATTCTATTATTGTTCCAAGTGGTTTTCTTGTTCCGGGTAAAACAAATGGAAATTTATATTTTATTTCTCAAACAGGATCACCAACACCATTAGTACCAAATGATAAAACAAATTGGTTTTATCATGATGCAGATTTTAAAGATATGGATGGTGATGGTCATTTTGATATAGTCGCTGGACGTGCAAATATTCCAATCATTGGAGGACCAACTACACAATTAATTTGGCTAAAAAATCCCGGTAATTATTCAGTCACTGGCCCTTGGAAACTTAACTATTTATTAACTACTGGTGGACCAGATATTCAAGTTCAATTTGCTCATATTGGTTCATTAACTGTATAATCTATTAGTTTTAAGCAAAAGAAATTTTTATTCTCTATTTTTTCATTTCATCATTTTAGGTTCTTTTTGCTAATTCATATTTTACACGTAAATTACAAATGTTCTGGTCTGATTCAGATCCATTATGGAGTAATGCTTCTCAATTACATGTACGTCATATTGATTATGAACCACTTTCATATGCATATATACAATTAACAAATGATCTTAATGGTGATCAAAAACCTGATTTACTTGTTACTGTTAATGATGAATTTAATGGATCATTAATTGCTTATGAATTACCAACATCAGGTGATATTCGTACAGGAGATTTTATTAAACATGTTCTTGCGACTGGATTTAAACCATTTAGTCAAGGTAAAGGTAAAGGAGCACCAGGACAAGCTTTTGCAGTTCAATTCTATTCTGGTCCAGCTCGAAAGAAACCTGTTATAATATTATCAGGTGATGATGATGGTTGTGTATACTCATTAGAAGCTCTTCATGATGATGATCCATCAAATTGGGAATATTCAAAGAAAATAATTCATCAATCAAAGAAATCAACTATTGGTCAAATTAGTATAGAAGATGTTGATAGTGATGGACATCCAGAAATGTTCGTACCTGCTTATAATGAAGGCATTGTCTACATCTATCGTTTAATGGATAATTAAAACTAATAAATTTTATTTTTTTTTAATATTTTTCTTTACTGCTATTTGATTGAATCAAAGAAAAAAGAGATTTATTTAATAAAGATACGAAACAAAAATGATGATTATCATATTTAATGTTTTTCAGCTTGTGATGCTTCGAAAAAGAAAAATGTTGATGGATTTGTCCAACTCATAGTACGAATTTCAGTGACATAACCTGAATTCCATGGAAATTTTAATGGAATTGCAATTGTATTATGTGTTGGTAATGTTGTAGATGGTTTGATTTTTATTCTTGGGAATGGACATAAACCAAATAAAGCTGTCGGATAACCATAACATATTTTAGTTCTTGATTTTGATGATGCATATTCTACATCTTCACAGAGTTTTTGTAATTCATATTCATTCTTTTTCATTTGTTCGACAAATTTCATTTGAAATTCAAGTTTCTCACTGTTTGAAAACGACCTTTTTCGAGAGAGTTGCTTCAGAGTACTTTCTCCTGGTTCTTTTTTCTTTTTGGAATCATTTGAGTTAACATCACTAGTGTGAGAAGTATCCAAACGTTTGACACGACGTGATATTTTTTTAGGTTTTATCTCGTCATCCACCGAATTATTACTAGTGCTTTGTCGTTTTTCCGGTGGTGTACGTATACGTTCTGGTGTCTTCGGTGGAGAAGTAATAGAGGTATTACTCTCGTCATTCACTGAATTATCACTAGTGCTTTGCCGTTTTTTCGGTGGTATACGTATACGTCTTGGTACCTTTAGTGGAGAAGTAATAGGGGTATTACTTTCCTCTGAAGGAGATTCTGGTGTAGGTGGCATTATGTGATGTTCACGTAGGGTTTGTAAAAGATACGAATTTTGTAAAGCTTCATGTAACATAGGAAATACTGCATCATTAATATTACCAGTCAATGTAAATGGTGCAACATTTAATATTATTTTTAAATTTCCATTTTGTTCTAACCATTGCTTGTAGGAAAATATTCCACTATCAAGTTTTATTCGATATGCAAATTCTTCTCTTCTGATTTGATGTTCTGAATCATCAGTATTTGCTGAAAATATCAAAAATTATTTTTATAGAAATATATAAAAATATAAAAACATACGATAGTAACGTAAATTGTGTTCTATATATTCTTTGCATTGATTTTCTTTTTCAAAAATTATTTGTTGTATTTTGTTAACATGATTTTCCTTATCATTTTCATCCTCCATTATCTTTTCTTTTTTCAATTTCATCAATTTTTTAATATTTTTTTCATATTGTGATCTTTTTTGTTCTGGTGTTAACAGAAAATATAACATCATACCAGTTTGAGGAGAGTTAACCGTGTGATGTTGTGTTAACACATCAGATCGATTAACTGGTTTTTCAAGTGGTAATATATAACTGGGTTTCGTATATTGTAACTGAAAGTAAAATTTAAAAAAAGTTTCATATATCATAACAGTAAGATGAAACTACGTAGTTTTCAATAGTTTGTTTGATGAAAACTTACAATTTTTAGTAATAATTTATCACATTCTAAATTAAAATTATTATCCGATCCAAATAATTGAAAACAAGAATCTTTTTGAGTTAATTTTTTTAACCATTCAATTGGTTCATAATTTTGAATTTTTACAAAAATAATATGTTTACCAATTTTATCTGCATATTTTGTTATTTTTTTACATAATTGATCTTCAAAATAATGTTTACTTATACAGAAAATAATACAATCGGATTTATTTATTTTTTTGCATATCTGATCAAAAGTAGTTGTTTCCTTTGAATTCATCCAAACAGAAAAACCTTCATCGACTAAACGATTAGCTAAACGTTTTGATACAATTAAATCTTTTGATGAACAACTAAGCATAATATTGTAACAAGCAGATGATGTCTCCATTGATAATTGTGGCATTAAATTGGTTTTTTCTTGTATGAATCTGTTTGTTAAATGATATTTTTGACTAACTTCATACACATTATTAATATGACTATACAATACAATTTGTTGTTCATTATCTAATTTAGGTAAAACATATCTATCATTAGCGTATTTATAAAAAGCATTGATCATATGTTGATTCCAGTGTGTAAATCCATCTAATTTCATATTAAATACACATCGATTTAAGTAATTATTTATTTTTTGTTCACATTTAGTAAAATAATCGTCATCGAGTGAGATAAGAGTAATTGTAATAACTATAGAAACATAAATATGAAAATAATAGAATTTCAATAATATGTAATTTTCCTATTATGCTATATATGAAAGTACTGAGACAGAATTGAATTCAAAATCGAACATTACAGTTTACTATATGTTTGCACGGTATTTATAAAAGACACAAAGACCCTTAAATCAGAAACTGACGACACTACTATAGAGAGCTCTACGGACTGATTCTACGAAGATGCACATTTTTTACTGGTTAGATGGAGTTACTCGACTTGCATACGCCTTGAAAATTTCAGCCTCCTATGCGCTTTCTGAAAGAAAATAGCAAGGACCACACATTCTCAGTTACCAGAAGTTACACTAAAATGAGTAAGCCGTCATAATAGAGAAAGAGTGGTCCTTGCTATTTTCTTTCAGGAAACGCACAGAAAAGTGAAATTTTCATAGCGTATACAAGTCGAGTACCTGTATCAAACCAGCAAAAAATATGAGTCTTCGCGTCTGTTACAAATACCCATGCTTGTGTATATGACCGTAGAAAAGTTAGAACTCTATAAACTCCTTGTTGATTTATAACTGACGTTTCAAAATCATAATTGTACTGATACTATCTAAACAGAGTAAATTAACTGAGATTAGATATATATGTATAATACAGAAAATTTTAAAACTTTATTATATTTTGGATTACTATTCAAGAAAATCATACTTGATGTAGGACAAGAAAACATTCCAAAGTTATCTTCTCCTTTGTGTACTTCTTGAAGTATATTTAAAAATTGTTTGTGTAATGTTTTTTGATCAGGTAATAAAATAAATGATACATTCAATGAAAAAGATTTTATTGATTTAATTTGATTCATTGTTTCTTCTATCATTTCTTCGGCTAAAACTTGTTCTTGTTCACACATATCCGGTACTGCAAATGCAATTGAATAAACATCTGAATCCGTTTGTTTACGATTTGCTATAACATATTGAATTGTTTTCGAAATAAATGTTGTAATGGATTCACTTAAATAATCATTATCAATTCCCCATGTTGGTACTGACCAATTTACAAATAAAATTTTTTTACAATTCAATCTTCCACTGGTTGTTTCAGTAATAAATGGAATTGTAGAATTTTCTTGATTTTGTAATTGATTTATTTCACCAGCTCGTTCGATTAAACTTTCTTTTAAACCAAATGATGTCGATGGAATGATAATAATATCAACCTATAATCCGAATTTATTTAAAAATATACGAACAATGAAATTAACCTTTTGTACAGCAATATCACCTATAAGAACTTCAATTGATCCATTAGCTAATTTTGTTCGACAGAAAACTGATGGTAATGAACAGAATAAATCCGATTGTTCAATAATTGATTGTGAAGTATTCAATGTATTTTCATGAGCTCTTGGAATCGGATAGAATTTTAATTTTGTTTTTGTTTTTAAATAACAATAACAATGATTTTTTTTAGCAAGAGTTTTTAAATTTGAATATAATCGATCAGCAATATCATAATATAATTCGACACTTTTAAATGTATATGTTTTTAAATTAGATAATAACTTTATTACACGAGATTCAATTTCATCTTTTAAACATTGGGATGCATAAAAATAGTTTTGTTCGATAAAGAATTGTACACCGTAGTAATGTCGAAATTCTCGTTCAATATTTTTCAATTTTCGATAACAAAGATTCGCAAGACCATCAAACTAAATATGAAACTCAAAAAAATTAATATATATATCAATATTTATAGGAATATGTGTTTTGGGCTCAATCCGAAATTTAATTACTTTCTATAATAGAATATCGTAGTTAATCCAAAGAACGGATTCTATACAATTTTAGAAAAGTAAATAAACTGTGAAGCTCTGGGGACATTTATACTAAATTTAATAGAAGTTTTGTATAATATATAAATTCGAATCAATTTATTCCTCTTTTAGCAGTAGTAGTTAGTCCGTTTTTCACTATCCTTTCTTAGTTAGATGATATAAAAATCATACTTCAGCAGACGACATTTCATTAAATTTGAATTTTCTTAATTGATGTTTAATAAACAAATCCTTAAATTTTTGTGAAACTTCATTCACTAATTTTCCATATCCAAATATTTCAATCATATTTTCTTTTTTTGATCTATCTATATGATATCGTTTCCAAGTAAGAGATATCAATAGATTATTTTGTTTACATTCATTTATTATTGCATCCAATTCTTTTTCATATTGTTCTGTTGGACAAATTCGATATTCTAGTATCATTTTATTTGTATTCATATCAATAAATTTATTCGTATGTTTATTATCATTTGATAAAAAAAGAATATTTTCTTGTAAAATCTTATTTTGAATAATATCATCGATTTCAGTTGAAATTTGAACAACATCCATTTTTTCATCAACAAAATAATAAACTTTTAATATTTGATTATAAATTCCGGTCATTTCACATACGGTAAAAACATGACTTTCCTTATTCAAAATATTTTTAATAATATCATCTGATTTACAGTTAAGTAACCACTTTTCAATTATGTGTTGTTTGTATGTATTCAATTTTATTAACTCATCGAAATATTTTATAAAACGTCCGACAATATGATTTTCTTGTTTTGTTCCTGTTACTTTGATAGTGTAGTTAATACAGGATTCATTATTTTTCTGATTAGCTTGTTTAATTTTGATATCAACTGGACATACATTTTGTTTTATTAAATTAATGACATATGATTGAAATTTTGAGTTTTTGAAAAAATTAACTTGAATTTCATCGTTAATTACATATGAAACTTTACATTTATCATTATCAGAATCTTTATTTTCTTTGTGTTCACCCTATGAAAATAAAAGAGATAGTTAACTTAAATTTTTATGATTTTGAGCTGATAGTTATATGCTTATTTTATTCATCACCATCAAAAGCTTCGGTTTTATAGATACAAATTTAGAGAGATTGTATGAGTCATTATTATTTTTATGTTGATAAAAGTCTATAGAAGTAATAAACACGCTACAATAAAATTTCTATCGCATCTATAATGAGTTTTAGTTTCGACTTGTGTTTTCTTTTTCAATCTATGTATTTCTATACGAAAACGTCAATATTTACTTTATTTGAATTAGTTGAATCAATTACAGTATTTGGAAGAACTGGTTGTGTGTTATTAGTAGCTCTAAAAAATATGAAATACTTTCCAGTAGTATTAATAATTTAGATAGAAAATGCTCTTACTTATTTCGATTCTTCTTCTTTTTTTGTTGGTTCTCTATTTTCCATTCCTTTAGTATAGTTCTGAATCTACTTTTTATTCCAATCGTCGATTCTTGTATCGATCCATCAGTATTAATTTGCAAAAGTAACTCAGAAATATCATAATCAGTTAATTTCATTAGTGCATTACCATCTATGGTTTTATCTAATATGTCATTAGAAAAAGAATTATGAGCATCCAATATAACAGAAATAACTACCTTTAAACATCTTAACCTGTTTTTTGAAGCCATTTGCTCTCAGCCAATCACTAACTTGTTCAATTGTCCAATTTGCCATTAGTTACGATGATAAATATATTAATCTAATTATTATCTGAAACAATTTATTAAGATATTTCAGTTATAAAATAATACCAACAAATCAGCATAACAGTCAAAAATAGTCGTAAATGGGTTATGGCAGGTGAGCCAAAAAATGTGGCTCACTTCATACAGAAAAATAACTCAACCAACTTCGAGCCTTTAATTTCTTATAAGTCGAAATAATTTGCCTGAACATCCTGACTATCGTAACACGAAGAATCTAATCAATTTAAAGGATGAATCGTATTTCTTATAACATTTCGTTGGTATCTCCGTTCTATATCCTTGAGGATTTCACAAAGATCTTGCAAGGATTTCTTGTATTTTTGATTGCAGAAAGTGAGCAAAACAGGCAGACATTTCTGTGAACACAACTTACTCTCATTCTACATGGAACCTGCTGAAAAAGTTGTTCTTCCTTTGTATTGTTACACTTTTTTCCCAGAAAGAAATTTGTTTATTATCATTTCTCCATTTTAATTGACAGACGTATTTTTCCTGCTCTCATTTCTATACTCTATTTCCTGAAAAAAATATATTTCTTTTAACTTCAGTTTTCTTCACAAAAAAAAACTTGTCTATCATCGTTCTTACATTCTCAATATCAGAAGAAATATTTTCTGCTCGTACTATTACATTTTCTTTTTCTGAAAAAAATATTATCACTATTATACGGAGAATAGGAAATCATTTTATAACTCAGTAGTAAGTGTGGTGTACTTTTTTGTCTTTTGGTGGATAGATGTAAAGACCGAAGATGGGTGTGGGTTTGAGTTTGGGCGTGAGGTATAATCATCAATAAAGAGAAAACACTCAAGCCCTCTCACCCATACCCTCAGAATGGAGAAAACATAGATAAAAGTATGGGAAAAGTTGCATAGTATTAAAGACAATTCTCGTATACTATTCGATCTAATTAAGACTACTAAATTTAGGCTTTAGCCTTAAACAGGTCTCAGAATATTATAAGGATCATTTACAGATATATCGTAAGAAATATAGAGAGTACCTCCGTATAGCTTCCAAAAAGTTGCGAGAATCATCACTTTAATATACCCGGAAAACTAAAAGGAGCACTCAGAAGTTGTTTATTGATGCTAGTTTATTACTACCTAGAATGATGAAGTTCACCTGGAAATTTTGAGTTTCGTAGTCTAATCAGTTTCTCATCAATTAATTAATTAATTCTAACTAAGTGGCAACCGAAAGAGCTAGTTCAGAAACAGAACACCTAAATAATCAAGGTAAGGTATAAACTCGGTATTTGTGTTGATTCTTGAAATTACCATATCTATAAGATAGGTAAAATATGGACTTCAGATTGACTGATGCCAATTTTGGGTGACTTCCTATGAACTCTTAAATGTCTTTGTAACACATATTCCAAATTAATATTAAGAATTTTTGAATATGTAATACATACGATTCGATATATATAGAAGAGAGGACGTTTTTAGTTATTGTATTATTTGCTTACGCTGTTATAGCTTTCGAAGAATATTTCATTTTCTTTATGTATAGTTGCTACGTCTGTTTCGTATAACAGAGTACACATATAAAAGTTTTATTACTCTTTTTATATGCAGACATATTTATAGACACTATTTTTTCTTTGTTAATCATTAACAAAAATTGTCATAGTGATTACTTTTGTGTTCTTCTTGTTACATTTATTTTGTCTTCTATCTATCATAATTTAATTTAATATAGGTGTAATTAAAATAAAAGATAAGGTAAAAACTGAACTGCTATTAACCTAATATTTTAGAATAAGAAAAAACATACATTATGTTGAAAAAAGCTACATTGAAACTTTTATGTATACTAGAAAAAATATTTTACTTACTACGGTTGCTTTTGTCAGTTTTAACTTGTATTAGTTTATTTCGAACGAGGCATGATTTTTAAAAATAAATACAATTCCTGTGATTTTTATAGGTTTTACCAACTGCGTAATGTCATTACATACACAGACAAAATGTGTAAAATAAACAGAAAGAGAAAAGTTTTATGAAGGTGAAAAAGTTATTGACATAATCGATTGGTATTCTTTCTATTTTTTTTTGATTCAATAGACGGTAGCTGTTACACATAACTAGTAAGTCATCGATTCCAGATAAGTAATATATGAAAACGAGAAGATGAATAGTTACGCATCGAATATTTTATCATCAAATAGATCACTACTTATTAGATCGGATCTTTAAAGTTTCAGCTTACATACCAATACTAGGCATTTTTTTCAAAAAATATACTATTTTTGGATACTGTAACACAGCTTTGTGTAAAAAGTTCTATATTTTAAACGATTTAAGGACAGAAGCTATTATACCTTTTTAATAGAATAACATTAATTAGATTTGTTAAAATATATAATTTTAACTCGTGTTTATAGTCATAAATGTAAGTTTCTTATAAAAACTCATTCAGACTATGTTCTGGTAAAAAAAAACGCGTGTTATTTGCTGTGAGTAACTGTTGTTGGAAGTTTCACATTTTACTTCATCTTTTTTACCAACTTTCTCGTTGTTCTGTTTCTTTTCTTTTTAAATATTTACTCTCGTTCTTCCTTGGTTTTACTCTGCAATAAATAATATTTTGTAAGATTTTATTCTTCACTGAAAGAGACAAACAGAAAAATATTTACTGTAAAATAAGAGAAAATCTAGGCAAAATGAAATGCTAGTTATGCATTTGTATACTATATACGATTTAGTACGAAAGGTGGAAACAGATCTAGGCATCACACTTTAGAATATGATTACAATAAAAAAAGGTACATTGCACCTGAAAGTGAACAATTCAATTCTGAAAAGTATCTTTCAAGGAAATTATTGATTAAACTATGTTTTTCGTTTGATATAATAAGTAGAAGTGCTAATTTGGGATTTCACTCTGGAAAAAGTTGAGATCTACTAATATTTCAGAAACTTATACTGATATATTCACATATCGTGATGTTTAAATGTGCTCGTATCTTTTGAAGATAGAAACTCTAAGGAATGAGATATAGTTACTGTTAAGTATTGGAGCCACATTGTAATGTGTGTTACCTAGAAAAATTAAAGTTTCTACTTGTTGCAGTTCTGTTCCGATAGAAATACGAACATAATTAAAAAATCTCATTCTTATACATTTTTGACTATAATGATATTCGAAAAGATGCTTCCGTCCATTCGGAACAAGATGCTATAACTTCTCAAGGTTCTTGGAACAGAAACTTACATATAATTTTGAAAGGCGCCGTTACTCTCATATACAAATTTTAAATGTAATCAATTATAAATTTACTGTTAAAGAGTATAAATTAGTACTTAGATTAAAGAATTGGAAGATGGGACAGCTAAAAAATTCAGTGTATAGCATTCTATGCACACGGAATATATAAATACATATGAGAAGTTGTTCTCAAATGATTTTCAATGAACTGTCTCTCCCATTCTATGAAAAATTAATATGGTTCCTCAAATTCTTAGAAATGAAAACCTGTAACACATGTTAAGCTCATAGAAACGAAATTTAAAACAGATATTCTTCGTTTTACTATTATTAGAACATTTATCTCATTTCTATATTATCTGCTATACAATTATTAAATATTTAGATATATCAATGGCTAATTGGACAGTAGATCAAGTTAGTACTTGGTTACAAACCAACGATTTTGAGAAATACATTCAAAATTTTAAAGGTAAAATTTATTTATATTAATCACTTATTGTGATTGTGTTATATTTATATACGTTTGTTTAAGATAACGATATTGATGGTGCAGCTATGAGAGGTTTAGAAGATGATGATATTTTAAAATTATTATCGATATTAAATCAAGATGGAACGATTAAAAATCCTACAAAGAGAACACAACGTGAATTTAAAAGAATATTAGAAGAGTATCAAGAAGTAGTCAAAGAAGAAAAAAAGAGGAAGAGACGAAACAAGTAAGGAGATTATTAATTTTTTCTAATCAAAATTCTTTTTTCTAGTTCAAAAACACGCAGAGAACCTGATAGAAATTTAAATAATAATGAAAATAAGTAAATTAAAGCTTGAATAATTTAATTATTTTAGAAAACTATTGATTTCATCGTTTAGTTTATTATCTGTACTTTTAAAAAAAACAGTTCCCATACCCAATGATCCTGAAACATATTCCACAATTTACATCGTTGATTCAAAGAATATTAGTTCAAAATTTTTCAAAAACCAATCTATTTGCTCCGTGCTAACAAAATATATTCTAAATAAATACAACGTACAATGTCATACACCAACGGCAAATCAATACGAAACCAAAGATGCTTTAGAAATAAAACTATCAGGTATAAAGGATAACGTTAAAAATGCTCGAAATGATCTTCAATCATTATTCGAAACAATTAGAACAAAAATTTTCAATCATGAAGAGATCGATAAAAAAGGTGATCACATGAATTATTTTTATCTTTTAAATACAAAATAAATTTTCATTCTTATTCTAGTTATGAGATGGTCAAAACATATTTATTCCGATTCAGCTCTTGTTGTTTTACAGAAAATATTTTCTGATAAGAAAAAATTAACTGTTTGGGAAAAGACTAATATTTTATCAGGATATTACATAGTTCATTATGTTAGTGGAAAACATAAACTCAGTGTTTCAGAAGACTTTATTAATCGAACAATTAACAATGAGATATCTTTCGTTCGAGATATAATTATACCTCATGTAAATAATATTCAACCGAACTTTCGAAAAGAAATCGAGGAGTTTATTAATAATAAAAAACAACAACAACGACAATTTCAAACAATGGCTATTATTCATTATCCATATTATTCTCAAATGGAAATGAAAATTAATTTGTTTGGATTAAGAAATCAAGTTGAAATTGCACGAAGACAAATCAAACAATTGATTAATAAACATCATCTGAGAACAACAAAAATCGGACTTAATTTAACACAAGTATGAATATCTTAGTTTGTACTATCTTCTATTAAATAGACGCAACATGAAAAGGATTATATATTTTCAGGAAAAAAGTTTAAATACAGTGAACTCAGATTTTAGTGTTACCCAAGAATTATTTCAAAATCTTCGAGTTTGCTAAAATAATAAAACTATTAATTCATTTTTGTTGTATAGCGTGAATATCTGTTAGACAATTATGTTCATGAATTGAAGAAAATAGAATTAGATTACAAAAATGATAATATTAAAATTCAAATTCGTGAAGATTCAATTATTGCACCACAGTATTTAACTATGAAAATAAAACAATTAATTCAATCCATGATTTCCAATACCAGTACATTAAACTTCCGGTATATAGAAAATGCGATTACATTAACTGAAGAAAATCATTTACAATTAAAAGTTCTTGCGCAAACTTATAATTGTGAACTTGATCGAATCGATATAAGCACAAGAGAAGAACCGATCTTACTACCTAACGGAAAAAATGTATCGGCATCAACAAATATCATGAATGAATCAGAAGACTTTTACTCCTCATTATTCATATTCAGACAACTTTTCATAGCAACGAATACTATTGAAATTCATAAATCAGATGATGAAACAGTTTGTTAAACAATTGACTTTTAAAAATATTTTTATTGATTTATTTTGCTTTCAGTTCGATATCAATATTATATCAACAAATGAAGATGCGATCAAAGAAAAGATCGATTCACAATATGGAAATGATTATTTTGAATCAGATACTGGTAAAAGGGTATTATTTATGCATGAGTCACCATTCTATTCAAACGAAAATAATCATCATACGAAGAAATCGATAAATAAATTTATTTCAGAAATTTTCAATCAAATTGACACACTTGATCCAGATACTATTAAAACGATTGCATTTTCTACAACTAATTGGGAAAAATATAATGATAATGTTAAACAATTAGTCGAAGAATTTTTAAATGAAATGAAATATCAACTTGAAACTGAGAAATTCTCAAATCGTTCTTGGAAAATATTCTTCATTTTTCATGATGAACAAAAAGATCTTTGCAATGTGTTTTCTCAAACTATTTTAGCATTACAAATGAAAATGGATGATTATGAACAATTCTTTTATCCAATATCGAGTATGTAAAATATAGATTGAGTCTTGATATTCTTTCTTTAGATCCAGTGATCAGAAATAGGAGCGATTTATGTTTCTCTTTATTGATATTCAAAATTTGTCCTAACTTTAGTCTTCTATCAAATATATAATTGTAGTGATTCTAAGGATTATAAAATATAATTTAAAATTTCGAATAATAAGTTTCGTTGAATCATTCTAGCGACTTCAATAATATTGAAAACATCTGGAAACTCGAATGTCTTAAAATGTGAAAATGCAATCCGTGATTATATGAAAAAGAATGTCCTGACAACAGTCAAATTGCATTGTCCATTCAATTCTGAACTATGGAATCAATATACGATTAATACATATTATAAGTACTGTCTCAAAAAATATGTATTACCTCATTTTTATCGAATTGATGAACAAGAAAATCAACAACAACAATATTTGGATTTAATTGGACCAATATCTGCTGTTCAGATAGTAAAACAAAAATATGAAATGATGTCAGAAATTGAACGACAGAAAAGATTAGTTCATACACAACCACCTGAACCTATTGAAAAAGTACATTCATCGCGAACTAAAGGATCTAAGAAGGGTGCTGTGTCTTATAATATTATACTTAATTGTTGTTCTAATGATCAAGAGCTAATAGAACATTTTTCTAATCGTTTAATTGATGAAGGTTATCAAGTATTGATTGATTACAATGATATTATACATTCGAATATCACATCAGAAATTAATAAAACAGATTTGATTGTTGTTTGTTTTAGTTTTAATTATTCAGAAAACGGTAATTGTATGAGAAATATAGTCTCTATTAAAAAATCTACAAAAAAATTTGTACCAATATTCTTAATAACAAATGCTTTAAATGAACAAAATAATTGGCTTCAAATAACAAATACTCAAGAATCATTCTATGAAAAATTTGAAGAAGAAATAAAATTCAAATTAGATGAAAATTTTGATTTAAATTATGATAAACTATTGCTTGAATTGGTAAGCATTCTTTGTTTTATGACATATATAATTCATACATAAGAAATATTATTAGTTTGTCATAGATGGTTAAAATCTAATACTAAGAATTAGTCGAACTGTTTTATGAGTATTAGAAAAGACGTATTGAATGAGAAGTGTTTGATAAACATCAAAAATTTCTCAACAAAATCATCATGATTTAAATGTTGTGATAATCACATGAAAACGTTTTGACCTTCATAATCTCAATAAGAATTTTTCTTTTCTTGTATTTAATTCAATTAAACTAAATAATGATTTATTATTTATAGCTTCGTTATACCAAACCGGGAGCACTTGGTCAAACTTATCCAATATCAAACAATATCGTGAACAAAGAAGAAAAACCAGAAGAAAATACTAATCAGAAAAACAGGATTTCTGATTTTACACCAGAACAAATTCTTAAAAAAGAATGTATTTATAAAGAATATATTGAACAACTCTTAGAAAAAAATAAAATTCCAGAAAATGAATTAATCGATATAAATAAATCGTTGACTCGTGTTCTTAATTATTATAATAGCAGAGATCGTTCAGCATCAGAAGAAGGAGAACATGAAACAGAAGAATCTATTCAAGATGTAAATCAAGATGATGAAGAACAGGAACAAAATCAGGACGAGAGTGAACAAGGTCAGTAGTAATAAATTCATCCACTAGAGAGAGCGCATATTACTTAGTAATTTATTGATAGTAAAAATAAATTAGAATAATTCGCATCATTTCATTCTATGAACCGAATATTTCAAAAATCATTTCACAGTAAGAATGAATATCAACAAATTTTGCCTAAATTGATATGTAATAAACTGTTGCCAAATAAAATCCATTAAAAAAGTTCTTTGTTTATATATTTTTAGAAGAAATAAATAGTGTTAATATTTACGACAATAACATTTTACATGAGTATTTGCGTGCATTTTTATCAAGTCTACAATGTTGGATGGATAAAGCATTGAATGGTCCTGTTATCAAAGGTAATCTACCACCATTTACTGTAACTGGAGATTTTAATGATGCTATATTTTCAACGTCTATCATTGATAAAGCTCCATGGTGGGAAGCAACTGCAAATCTATATAAGTTTGATCATTCTTTGTCTCCATTTGAGGTAATTTCTCCAGATCTAATTATTGGCTCGTGGTGTAATTATGATGAAGCACATCATTTTTTTCAAAAATTTATTGATAAAGATATTAAATTTCGAGACGAAAGGCTGAAACAACGTTTCGAAGAGAATGAACATAAGGATGAAGAAAATCAAAGTTCAAATGAGCAAGAAGCAGAACAATCAACTATTAATTCACATTCATATTTTAAAACAACTATTAAAAAAGGCACTGTTGCTTGGGATATTACTGAAAATAGACAAGTTTTAAAAGAATATGAACGCAGACAAAATGGAGAAAAAAGAAGAAAATTAGATGGGAATACTACTGGTTGGCAATGTTTAATGGATCGATCAGTTCAACTAATATCAGATCTTAAAGAAGGTAAAATTAATATGCAATCAAACGAAATACAAGGACGAATTGGAAATGAACTTAAAACAAGAGAAGCAATACGAAGACGAAATGAATTAGATGATCCAAATTATAGAAATTGGAAAGACAAAGGCTTTGAATCAACCCGAAAATTTATTCGATTGAAAATTAGAAATACAATTAAATGGCAAAAGTTTTGTGCTGAATATGAAAATAACAAATCATTAATAACAAAGTAAAACGAATATTTTTTTTTGTTTTGTATCCGAAAATGAATAAATACTTGATTAAAATAATTCTATTTTATTAACCTTATTATTTCATCTAGCAATATTCGATTCTGAATATCATGAGATATCTAAACTCGTTTTGAATTATATGAAAAAGAAAGAAAACTCAGGATTATCGAAGTACGTGGAAGAATTTTAAATACTCTGTTGCCAAAAGATGGATACCCTGGATTCAGTACTTTCTCTAGGGTATTAAAAAGATTCTTGTATATTTCAAAGTTTATGCCGATTGAAGATAAAATCATTGAATGCATCTAAACAAACTATAGATTTTGTCTACGTACCAAGATCTATCTATTAAATATATCACACTTCACATTTTGAAGAAATCCATTGTTTATTTTACTTCTACTTGTTATTAATGCAAAAACATATATTATTATTTTTAGATTAAAATAACAATATTAATATTTTTCTTTCAATGAATATATTACTTCAACGTTGCCGAACTTTAATTTCTCAACTTCGTAAAAATTATCAAATTAAAGATGCAAAAGATTTACTCAATGAAACTGTGTTATTTTTAAATAATTCAATTCAAAATCAAACAGATGGTTTACATGTTTTATCTATAATTTGTCATGATTTAGCAGGATTATATAATCTTCCGTTTTTTAATAATTCAGAAATAATGAATCACCAATTTTTTATTATAGTTAGTAATACATTTATGATGCTATTAACAAAATTAACATTTATTCGTTTAACAAAACAAGATATACAATGTTTTGATGATATTAGTTTATTAATATGTAATTTATGTTTAAATAGAAACATAATTTCAAGTAATTTTTATATTGATAATAATGAAAAATTAAATCCAAACAACAAAGAAAAATTTAATGTAACCTCTTATGAAAAAATATTCTTTACAAAATCATTTGTAGAAAAGTTTGTTAGGATTATAGATAATGATATAGCTATTAATTATTATGAACCATATCATATCAAATATAGAATTATTGATCGTCTACTTCGTTTATGTATAAAATTAAAGGATATTGATCATAAATTAATTCTTGATGCTGTTATGAAATGTCTTGAGTCAAAGATTTATAAAAAGTTATATACAACTATTGATCTTCGTCAACCAATACTAACTCCACAACAATCGTTTTTTATGTATCAATGTCCAAAATTTATACGTCTTTGTAGTGACAAACGACAAAATGACATATCTCAGAAGTTATCTGAACCATTAATAAATCTTAGTTCTGATATTTTTGCAAACCAATTACCCGTTATTTATGAAGAACATGCAAGAATTCAAGCTATCTCTTGGTACATTGAATTATTAAATCATTTTGCTTTAACACCATCAACAAGAGTACAATTCATTAAGAGTAAGTTTACTTATACTTTAGCTATCAATACTACTAATCTTATTAGATTTTTTTAATTTGAAATATTCTTTGACTAAATCATAACGATATCGTATCTTAGACAAATGTAAAATATCTTTTCATTAAACTACTGATCGCAGCTAATTTGTAACGTTAATCTTGCAAAGGACTTCTAGACTTTTGACAGTAATTTGACAAATAGAAAAAAGAGAAATACAAAAACAATTGAATAGTGTATGTAGCAGCTGCGTATTAAAATACATAAAATCTTACAACATAACCGATTAGCGCCTAAAGACTAAACATAATGAAAGGAGTTTTAGTCATCTAAGCAAGAGTCTGTACGGTTGGATGAAATATAATCAGCGACATATAGATGAGTATGCGTGTATTTTCACTCACATAAATAAGCCCTCTAATTCACACTTAAATGATGCTGCACATATCCATGTATATGATAATGAATGAAAACTTACTCACTGATGTCCTTTAACATGTTATGAAAAGATTTATAATTTTTCTCTGAGTTTATTATTCCTTGCTGTATATTTATCATACTATTTGTTTGTTTTTAGGAATAGATTTTGGTAAAACAATAGTAGATCAAATGATTGAAATATTACAAACGGAATCATTGATTAAAAGTGTTCGAGAACATGCTGAATCATTCCATACTGATGTTGCTCTTATGTCATATGCCATAACTCTCTTGTACAATTTAACATTCGAAAATAAAATCTTTTGGGATTTAAAAACTAAAAATGTTATAGCCACTTGTAAAAAATTATTCAATGCAAAAGATAAAACCATACAATTTGCATCTCGAACCTTAGATGCAATTTTAAATCAAAAAGAAATCAATGAAATAGACAGTCCATCTGTTGTTGCACGATCTTATTTATATTTTATTGAAAATACAATCGATGATATAACACTTACTTATCATGGAATTAAATTGGATGGGATTTTAACGAATCTTGAAAGTATGTTTATTGAGAAGTTTTGAAAAAACAATCGTTTTTGAAATATTCACCTCAAACTAAGAAAAAATGTGTAGATTTGTCGCTCCTATAAAAACGAAAAGTATAGATTTCATAGGAGGCCCATCTCAGATGTGACAAATAAGAAACTCGAATCAGTTCGTTTACTAAAACTTCAGCTGTTACTAGAGTTACATAAATCGGTATTAGTCTAGGAACAGCTTCACAGATACAACATTCTCTTTTTTCCTTTTCTATATTGATGACTAAGGCTTTGCATAGATTTTGTAGTAATTAAGTTTAAGCTGAATTTTACTCAATATTAGTGTCAGTTCCGATTTATACCTGATGAATAGATAATTTTCGTATCCCGATGGATTTCTGTTATCGCTTTAAGAATAAACATTGAAATCAAATAGTCTTCTTATTCTATTGTAGCTATTGTACATAATGATGATATTAAAGAAGAAATTACTAATGATGGTGAGGGAATACCATTAATAGCACGATGCGCATATGAATCAAATTTCGATATTGAAACAATTCAACGTCCAGCACTTGAAATCATTAGTGCAATTTCATTTGCAAATGATTCAGCTATTGAACAAATAAAAGAAAATGATATTCTAATGGATCATATTAAAAAATTATCTGATCGTAATGATAAAGATCAAGAAATAACAGCTAATCGTATTTTATGGAAAGTAGAACAAGAAACAGAATTTATTTTAAATCAAAAAGTAGAAAAGAAACGACGACAAACAATTATTAAAAAAAAATTCAAGGAAGAAGAAGCTATATATCAATATGTTAGAGGTGATTATCATATTGAAATAAACGATGATTATCTTCCAGGCAAGTTCGATGTTATGCTAAGTTATTGTCATAGTGATAAAGAGATCTGTTCGAAAATTTATACTCATTTAAATGCAGAAGATTTTGGTCAAGTTTTATTTCATGAAAGAGATATCGATACTATACATCCTCGATATATGGCCAAAGCTATAGAATGTTCTTCTATTGTTATTATATGTTTTTCAAATAAATATGAACAATCATATGCATGTCGATTAGAAGCTGAATATGCTAAAAAACGACAACGAACAATCATTGCTGTAAAATTAGAACCTGGATATGATGCAAAAGGTTGGCTAGAAGACATTATAGATACAACATATATCGATTTTACTAAATCAGAATTTACTAGTGCCTGTACACAATTAATTAAAAAAATCTATGAAACAAATGAAGAAAACAATAATATATAAATATTATTTACATTTATTTGGATATTAAGACAGATAAATAAAATATGCTTTTTCTTTAAACGATTTTTTAGAAAATTAGATTAATACTCTTGCATTACAAACTATATGTATCTTCATTATAAGATCTGAAATAAATATAATCTTTAATTAGAGATTCTTTTCTTGTAACGATTTCTATTTGTAGATAACGAAATAATTTTCATCATTGCCTTCAAAGCAAATTAAAGTATGTTAAAATATTGTGTTTCATTTATTGGATAATATTATTCGTTTATATAGGTATACAACTCAATCTTCAACAAAAGCTGTCGATTCACTTGAACAATCACTATGCCTAATCACTTACAAGAGTTTACTTCGAAGTATATTATTATTTGGTTGGATCGAGATTTAGATATTTCGAATGAAGATAATCAAGAGTTACTTTTTCGATTGCACTCTACTGTTAGTACAATCAAAACTTTTACCAATATGGATCAATGTATTACATATCTTGAACAAATTCAAAATGAAAAAGTTTTTTTAATTATTTCCGATTATTTTATTAAACAGATCGCTTCATTAGAAGAACAATTCAATCAAATTAATTCAGTTTATATTTTTTCTAATCGAAAATCAAAATCTAGTGATATGACCATACCGTATGAAAAAGGTAAAGGTATTTTTACTCATATGAAGCAACTCAGTAATGAACTTATACAAGAAATTCGTCAATTAAATAAAGATTTAACATCGATTAGTATTATTCCAGTACAATCTATTGATCAGAATTTTAATGGAATCGATCCATTATTTATGTATTTACAATTATTGAAAGAGAATCTGTTTACACTTAATGATGATCGTAAGACAGAGATCAAACAATTTATCGATTACTGCCGTTTACATTGTGCGACCAGTACAGAAGAAACAGAAAATATTAATGACTTTGAAACAGGCTATGATAAAGAGAAAACACCAATTGAATGGTATACTATGGAAGGTTTTTTATACCGCATGCTCAATGAAGCTTTGAGAGAAGTTAACATTGAAGTTCTTATGAAAATGGCATTTTTTATTCGTGACCTTCATAAACAAATCAAACAACGCCATTTAGAACCAAGTATTGCTAAAATTCCATCTACTATTTATCGAGGTCAAGGAATGTTTAACAGAGATTTTGAAAAGCTAAAGAAATCACAAGATGGCTTCTTGTCTTTCAATAATTTTCTTTCAACAACATGCAAAGAACACGTGGCTAGAGGCTTTGCCGAACGTAGCCGTGATAAGCTTGAGAAAACACCAATTTTATTTGAAATATCAATTGATCCATCAATTGTAACTGTTCCTTTCAGTCTCATTATGGATTTAAGTAAATTTCCAGACGAAGAAGAAATTCTCTTCTCAACATCTACTGTTTTTCGAATCGATAAGATACAAAAAGTGGAAGACCGTCTATGGAAAGTCAATTTAACTTATACAAACGAAACAGATCCACTATTGAAACGTCTTGCTGATCATATACGAATTTCAATGGGTGGGGGAAATGTTTGGCGCAAATTAGGTCAGTTAATGATCAAAATGGGTCAATTTGATAGTGCTCTGAAAACTTTTGAAACATTACTCGAAAAAAATGATTCTAATGATAAAACAGAAAATGCTTTTCTCCACAATCAATTGGGATACATTTTGAAACAACAAAACAAATTAAAAGAAGCATTTTTTCATTACCAAGAATCTATAAAGATTAATCGGGCTCATATGTCAGAGACTGATCCTCGACTTTCTAGTACATACTCAAATATTGGTGGAATTTTGAAAAAATTAGGTGATACAAATGGTGCATTAAAATTTTATGAACTTGTTCTCAAGATTGATCTTGCTGCTGCACAACCGAATCAATTAGAAATTGCTATTGATCATAATAATATTGGTGCAGTATTTGATGATCAAGGTAAATATTCTGAAGCACTCAACAAATATGAACAAGCATTAGATATTAAACTTGCTTATCTTCCACCGCATCATCCATCGTTAGCAAGTACTTATAGTAACATTGGTTCAATACATCAAAAGATGGGTGATATTTCAATGGCATTATCATTCTATGAAAAAACACTTGAAATTCAACAAAAATCTTTACCACCTAATCATCCATCTTTAGTTGTTACATATGGAAAATTAGCTACAGTATTAGTAGAACTCCAACGATATGAAGAAGCCACTGATTATGCTGAACAATCTGCTATTATTGCTAAAAATGCATTTGGATCTTCACATCCTGAAACAACCAAACGTGAAAGATATTTTGATGAACTTCGAAAAAAACATCATGTTTCTTAGTATTTCTGTATATAGTTGATTGAATGTCGATTAGCGACATCTTTTGATTTATTAATATAAATATATGAATGGAGTTTCATTTCAAGCCATTCATTGAATTTGTATGAAGTAAATCTTGCAGACAAGTAGAATTTTTAATATCTTATTTTCTTTTCTTCAGTCATTTGCTAGAAACAGGTTTTTTTTGTGTCCTTCATTTTGTCGATGAACACAGAGACTTCTGAAAAAGTTATAACACCATCAACGATCATTCCTATTGAAAGTCCTTCAAAACAAGTTCAAATGAATGAGGAAAGTTTCTTACCAAATACTGTAACCGAACGAATTGATCCAAAACGTGTTCGATATCCTCATTGTATTGTTTGGACACCAATTCCAGTTCTTACTTGGCTCTTTCCATTTGTTGGTCATATGGGAATTGCTCGAACAGATGGTGTTATTCGAGATTTTGCAGGACCTTATTATGTTTCAGTTAGTATACATAAATATTTGCTTTGTAAATAAAAAGAACAAATGTAATACATAGGAAGATGATATGGCTTTTGGTTTACCAACACGATATCTTCAACTTGATTTGACTCGTGTATCAACAACAAGTAATTCAAATAATGTACGAACAATATACGATAAATCCGTTGAACAAGCATCAGATGAATATAAAAAACGAATGGTAATTATTTGAATTAAAAAATTTTTTCTCTTTGTAAATTAGATTAGTTTAGCACAACTTATGTTGTGATAATTGTCATTCACATGTTGCTATGGCATTAAATACTATGGGTTATGATAGAAAATATACATATAATATGGTTTCACTCGCATGTTGGATGTTTTTTTGTGGAAAATTCGTCAGGTATATAAATATATATATTTACATGTACTTCTTTATTTATTCTCTTTTTTTATTTTTAGTATTGCTGGTTTTCTTCGTTCTTGGATACCATTTCTTATATTAGTGGCCATTATTGTTACTATAACAGTTGTTACGAAATTGCAAACATAATACCAAAGTTAATGAACAATATATTTATAAATCCGTGTTCGCATTTCTTTCTCTTTTAACTCACATTATTTTAACTGAGTAATAAAATGTATACATACAATTATTTAACTACATATTATTTATTTGCATAGTAACGTCATTTCAGTCTGACTATTTTAAAAAAATCATTTGTATTGATTTTTCATTTATTTCTTCGAAAGAAATCTATCAGGGAAAGAAAAACTTTTTTTAAGTGTTATACATTACAGGAAACACACTAAAATATATTACACTCTTTTATGTATGTTGTAATACGAACATTTAATCTTTGATTTATGTCTTAATGTCATTCAAATCTATTCGTATATTTAAATTCAGTATTTTGCTTTATCGTTAAACCAGGTAACTCATGTCTTTTCAGCATATGTTATTAACAGATCTTTCCTATTTGGATTGTTGACAAAATACACTAATGAAATATACGACGGATACGATTCCAAAAAATATCTCGTGCTTTTTTGTTCATAATAAAAATAAATGAAATCTGTATGTTTGTGCAAAAACTAATTGTAAGAGTGCAAAAAAGATAAAGTGGAACAGGTGCTTGACCTGGTGAAATTGCATTGCATATAAGAAGAATAAGACTCGGTAGTCCAGCTGTACCCAATATACCAATTAATGTAAGTATATTTTTGAGAACACGTAAATCTCTATTTGATACTGTTTGAGTCGCTGTTGTAGCGATAGCCATAGTATTTATACGTCGTGTATGACGAACAATATATCGATAAATAATAATAATACCAAAGTAAGGTATACCAATGGCTGTGCCCATATAACAGAAAGTAATCCATTGAAAAGATAATTTCAAAGAACATATGTGCATTTCAGATGAATATTGTAATATATCTAAGATGATGAATATATATACATATAAGTGACTTTAAGAACACTAGCATACTTACTGGGAAAACATAAAAGTAGCGGAAGAAGACAACTGATAAACCAACTAATACAAATAATTATCCAATGTGTACGAAATGTTAGTAAGTATTTCCGACGATATAAAATATTGAAAAAATATTGACTTATAGCAGTGACAAGATATGAATAGCATATGGCATCTGCTGCTACAGCTGTAAAATAAGACAAAAATATACACATATCTTCCTTTTCTTTGTTTATTGATTGTAATCCTGCAATAAGTTGAGCAATAAGTATTAAAGCATATATAAATATAGCCAAACTAGAGTTAACCGTTAATAAATTGGGAATTGTTCGAAGAGTCCGATGAAAAGCAATAATTAATATAAGAATAGAGCTTAAAAGTATACTAATCAGTTGCATGATTCCTAGTAGAACAAAACTGATATTTAAATAAATCGGCGAAGGTTCTCGATTGATGAAACTGTTGTTCATGATGATTGTTTTTGTTGAATAAAGATATACTGAGGTTGTCCAGGCTATTGAAGTAGTAATGACAGCTTCCTTCCGTTTTTATCTTTTTTTAAGAGGAAACTGGGCGTTAGAAAAATATTGTTAGAAAAAAAAATGCCCTGAACGAGCTGTAATTCTAAAAAAAAGAAAAAGGAGATAGAAAGTAAAAATAGAGTTGTATACTCATTCATCTTATGACTTTCATTGTCAGTATTAAGTATGATATTTTCTATAAGTATCTAAATATACATTAAAATATTTTTCCTTCTTTTATTTATTATAATAAATTATTTAATATATAATTCACGAACACGATGGATTGGAATTATGTTCGTCAAAACTTTATCAATGTATGAAATGACGCATTACTCTAATGAGAGATTGCTTCTTTGTTTATATATCATTAGAAAATGTAAATGTTATAGCATATTTAATGAAATTCGAATGTGTTTTTCTTCATCCACTTTTACTAACCATAAATAGTAATTTTATTTCATAGACTTTTTTAATAATTTACTATTTCTAATTGTGCTATTCTTTAAATTTCATATGCCACATATTCATTGACAAAATTTATAAAATCTAAATAAATTATAATTATTTTTTTGTCAAAATTCTTTTACAATGATAAAATTAATGCAAAAGAAATGATTCTATGTTGATGTCATAGTGTTGAATTTCGCTTTTTTTTATAATTTGTACAGATGCAATGGATAAAAAATTAAATATTTAAATTTTCCATTGTACAGGAAATTAAACTCATAATCGTTTCGTTGTTATTTAGTTACATGATAGAGTATCTATTCTTATATTATCTATAGAGAAGATAAAAGAGAAATATTAATGAATCAAACTATCACAACTGATTATTTTGTATCATTAAATCATTAGCTGGATGTATAGAAAAATGTAATGATCGTTATTTTTGCAAATCAAATGTTGCACTTCATTAATCATTTAACAAATTAATTGTTCACAACTAATCTATTTTATTATTTAGATAAAAATATGTTAGAGTTTTTCTTTTCTAAAAATCTCAAAATAATAAAAGTTAGTGAATATGTGAGAATGTCAATATAAAACAAAAAAATGACTTGTTATATTGAGTTGATGTTGTATTTAGATGAGATAGTCAACTAGTTGTGAAATGAAAGATGAAGTACACGTGCTAAGGAGAAAGAGAAAGAGAAAGATAAAAGTTCTTTTATTTTGTGTACACATTTATATCGTCGATAGAAGATTAGAGCAACACCATATATTAACCGTTAGACAATAGGAGATGTGAAACGAATATTTTTTATTATTCGATTATTTTTTTTTCGAAAAGAAGATAAATGGTATTCGTATAAAACAGGTGTCAGTATGATAATGAACATACATTTTTCTTTTTTTTCTAATAAATGAATATAATGAAAAATGATTTTTAATTTGTTGTTTTCTTATCATCGAAATTGAAGATCGGTCAAATAAAAATAAAGAACATTGCTTTCGGAATATTCGTTTATTCTTTTTGTTTGCTCTGTCATCACATATATATATATATAAATATACATTTCAAGTTAGTTTTATCGTTGTTTAATAGAAGAGCGGCTACCTTATCTGTATCTCTCTCTCTCTCACTGTTCGCAAACGATGAAAAAAAAAACTAAAAGAGAAAGAATATAAGAGCACCTTTTCGTTTTGTTTTACTACCTTCTTCTGATTAATAATCCTCCATTCTTTTTTCTCAACACAGAATCGAAAAAAGGCAAGCGCATATGGTGTATATTTTTATTATGAAATTCGACATGATTTATATCTTTTAGTTAATTAATGGATCTCGAATCTTCTTCATCAAATATTGATAATCCTTCAATCACAAACGATAATTCAACTGATTTAAATGACGAATCATCAAATTCTCATCTTTCAGCATCAAATATAATTGGCACACATCCAAATGAAATAATAACAAGTATAAATCCAGACAATGGTTATCCTGTTCGACAAGAAAATGGCCAACGAAAAACTGGTCCACCACCGAATTGGCCAACAACATGTCATCCACCAGGTCGTGGTTGTGAAGTATTTGTTGGTAAATTACCACGTGATTGTTTTGAATCAGAATTATTTCCATTATTTGAACGTTGTGGACAAATCTATGAAATGCGTTTAATGATGGATTTTTCTGGTTCAAATCGTGGTTATGCATTTATAACCTATACAAATCGTGATGATGCTAAACGTTGTGTTAAAGAATTAAATAATTATGAAATACGTTCAAATCATTTAATTGGCGTTTGTCAATCGGTTGATAATTGTCGTTTATTTGTTGGTGGTATACCAAAAACAAAGAAACGTGAAGAAATACTTGAAGAAATGTGTAAAGTAACTGAAGGTGTTGTTGATGTAATTGTTTATCCAAGTGCAAATGATAAAACAAAAAATCGTGGTTTTGCTTTTGTTGAATATGAAAGTCATCGATCAGCTGCAATGGCAAGAAGAAAATTATTACCAGGAAATATTCAGCTATGGGGACAACAGATTGCTGTTGATTGGGCCGAACCAGAAAATCAAGTAGATGAAGATGTTATGGCAAATGTAAAAATAAAATATTTTGTTTTGCTCTTAAATTTTGTATCTGAATTTATATTTAGGTTCGAGTTCTTTATGTAAGAAATTTAATGATGACTACAACAGAAGAACAAATAAAAGAAGTTTTCGAACGATTTAAACCGAATTCAATTGAACGTGTAAAAAAATTAAAAGATTATGCATTTGTGCATTTTAAACAACGTGATGATGCTTTACATGCAATGAATCTTATGAATGGTAATTAAAATTTATTTGAAAAATTTTTATTTTTTCTTAATTTCGTTATATATCAGGTTGTGAATTGGATGGGTCCATTGTTGAAGTTACGTTAGCAAAACCAGTTGATAAAAATCAATATTTTAGATTTACACGTGGTGTTAGTCCATCAGGATTAACAACAAATATACCAGTAGATATTATTTATAATTTCTTCATATGAAAATAATAATATTTTTATTTATTTTAGTTCGCAATACCAGGAACTCTTGGTCCAGCTACTGCATTTGATTTCACTTCTATTCCATATTTAACAATTCCTACAACAAATACAGGACAAATATCAATGACTAATGGTACTACAATGATTCCTGTAGCTGTTAATCCTCTTCAACAAAAGTGAGATTTTCATAAAATTAGAGAAAAACAAAAGCGATATTTCAAATCTTTCATTTCCTTTTTATAATGAATCTATAAGTAGGATTTATACAGTTAAAATAAGATTATTTACAATCGTTCTACTATCTTTTTCGAGAGATATTATGAAAAATAAAAAATTACAACGAGCATATCCGGTATAGGACTCTTCTTAATTTAATATCAGACTATTCTAGAAATTTCGAATAAGAACAGTTTATTGCAATTTTTTGTAATATCCTAAATTAGGCTTTAAAAGTCAGTGAGATAATCATAAGTTAAATAGAAAAGTTCAGTAGTGTAAGTTTTCTCATACTAAGTTGTCACTGATGATATCAAGCAGAATCATTATTACGATAATACTATGTGTATGTGAAAGACTACGCAATTTATTATTCAGATAAAAAAATATCTTATAAAAATACTGAAATAATATTTAATAATTCTATTCATAGCTATTTTTCTTTTTTGAAATTATCGATTTTGATTATGTAATTATCATAACTTATAATAAAATTTATTGATAGAAATGTTCGTAGGTGTGTAAATGCTACTGGTCGTTTAGCCACAAATGGAAATACAAGTCCACCATCATTAAATCGAAATACTCCAACAGGTGTTCTTTCATCATCATCTCGTCCAAGTCAACCATCACCAAATATAGTTCATCATCGTGGTGCTTATTATACAATTCTTCGTCCGACATCACGTCGAACTGATGTAGGTTTCTTGTTTTTCTATTAAACAAAAAAAAGAATACATGACGCGTGTATATCATTTTTTTATCTGATTTAAATGCTCCGCATGGCTTAAATGATAATTTTTTTTTATAATTTTCGTCCTAGGAAAAATGTCTCGAAGATCTCTATAAAGAGACTTACGATGCGCTGTACAGCTCAGCTGCTAATACCACCGCTCCATCGATAATGATGATCGATCCCAATCAGCCTCAGTTTGTTTTACCAGAACAACAAACCCATCAGCATCAGCAGACAGAAGAGGTAATTTTCTTACCAGGATTTTCATTTTCTAAAATCTCTGAATAAAATTAAAAATTATTTTCAGTATCTTACAGCTGCTTGAGGAGTAAGATTATGGTTTGTTAATCTCAATCTTCTACTATATTCTATTTGTCAGATTCTAAAGATAAATTCTCTTATATAATTAATTTTTCTGCATGTTATTCTTCTGTTTATTTTGCTCAAAGTTGAGTTTAGCTGCACATTACCCTATACTATAAATAATTAGTTGGGTTTATTTATTTGATATTCTATTTATTTATTTTTTGTTCATTATAAAATAGATTCAATTTGCTCCTGCAGCATATGGTTTTCCTCCTGGAACACCTCTATTTCAACCAACTGCAATATTTCCTCATCAACTTCTAGCTGGACATCCATCTGGTGCTCAACCATTTCCTCAACAATCATTAGTCTTTGCAACAACTGATACAAATGGACAAACTCAACAATTTTTTCATGCTCATCCTCAACCAAATTTTGCTTTTCCATTTTTTCTAACTCCACAATTAGCAACATCACAAAATCCAACATCTAACAATACTGAAACACAAGTTTTCAGTTATACAACACCAACAGTAACAGCTACGAATACGGATACTAATACTTATTCGGCTTAATTAACAAAACAAAAACTTTATATTTACATTTAATTCGTTTTCCTTCTTTTTGTTTTTTTGTATTTCATAAGAATGAGAGTAACAGAGGAAGAAAGAAAGAAAAAAAAGATAATATGGATATTTATGTTTCATCTATTATTTATACTTCTCTTTATTGTTGTTGTTGTTGTTGTTTTGTGTCTTTCCTTCTCTTTAAATATTGTCTTTTTTTATCCGGATTGTATTGACTACGGTCATTATGTGAGCTGTGCTGTTTTTTCTTTTGTACTAGGCAAAATATGTTCAACAAAACTGTCTGTTTTTGTTTAAAAAAAAATACTAGTATAAATAAAAATGAAGTTTCTAAAAAAATATGTGATAAAAATATAATCGATCAACGTTGACTAAACTTATGGATCATTGATAATAATTGACATTACATATTAAGTTTATCAAAGATACTGCTAATTTAACTATCAAAATATCATTGATATTAATAGTATGGGTATCAATTAGTTTTATAGCTTCAGTCGATGATAGAAACCATAAAAAGAAGAAGAAGAAGTATTCACTTTCAAGTGTTTAAACTCTCTTATATAATTAATTATATTATATCTATATTTAGGTAAAGGTCAAAAGAATGAATAACTGTATCATGATACCTTAATTAACATATTTATATATACACAGTACTATGCATATTTTTCATAAACGTAATATAATGGAAGTTTATTAAACTGAGAAAGGAGGCAACAAAAAAGAAAGAACATTATTCATTTGATATATTACATGAAAAGATTAATAAATGTCACCCGAGATATTTTTTATTTGGATATTCAGAGGACAAAAAAATAACGACAAAGAAGAAGAAGAAAATTGACATAGCATATATAATATACCCAATCCACACGACAAATGTCAATAGTAAAAAAGATGGAAAGATGATTCAGGCTAATTTTTTGATTGTTATCATAATATAGAAAAATCATTTCTATTGAGTTTTTTTTTTCGAAACAAATATGATACTATTATCAATGTCGAAATGAAACTTCTTTTATTTCATCTTGTAGCTTTCTTCAAATGACAATAATATCCTACAACAAGCATTATTATTGATGTCAACATAATCACAGTCATAATAATAATATCCATTGCTATTCGCAAATAGTAGTAATAGTACCAAGGTTTTCTCTTTTCTTAGCATTCTTTTCTATTCTTATTTTTCTATTTTGTACATGTAGTTTGATATCGCTATGCTTGCTTACATGCATGTGAGAGCAAAAGAAAAAGACGAAGATATTTCTTGTCTTTCTGTGCAATCAACAAGAGAGAATTGCTATCGTTTGTGTGCTAGTCTAAATGCATCCTGTTTTTTTTGGCTCTATTCCTAGCAATGAGAAAACGAGATAGCGTATTCTGAGTAGAGACATATACTAACATAATAACAACTGATGAAAATTGTCGTTGTTAGTTTAAATACGAGATGAGTGGAACACCAAGTCTTGGTGCTTTTAATAAAGATAAAGTAGCCAATAAATTTGGTATACAATTGAAACCTAAAGATGCACCACGACGACCTTCAACATCATTAATAGAAACAAAACCATCGGCAACAACAGGCTCATTGAATCTAACAAAAAATAAAACAATCAATGATTTTCGTACGAACAATAATCCGAATGGATTTATATCAAAAACAGATCGTCCAACAACATTAAAAACAGTAGAACCAACGAAAAAACTTCCTGAAAAAACAACTACAACAAGTAAATCGACTTCTACACTTTTAAATACATCCACTAAGAATGAACAATCGAATTCATTGACCTCAAATGCCAGTCATTCCACTACGATATCGAAACAACCTTCACCATTAAAATCTCCAATAACTACAAAACGATCAAGTATTACATCAATTGAACGAGCTGTTTCACCAGCACCACCTATCAAACGACCAAATACATCCACAACAACTACTAAAACTGAAGCTCAAGTTGAAAATAAAAAAGATCAACGATTAGATAGAAGACAAATATCAAAACCATTGGATAATTCTTCATCAACAGTAGCAACAACAACAGCGACCTCGACTAATTCCTTGAAAAGGTAAATAAAAAATAAGTTTTTTTCTTTTCATTTCAAAAATAGTAAATCCTTTCAAAGAAATTGAGACACTTCTGTCATTTTACTTTTTTCGTAATGTTTTTTCATAAAATTGACTGCGTAATCACCTTGAATTCTGCAATGCGTAAATTATCGCATGTATGCATCCATATATACATTCAACAGAAAGGTGATGTTTGTCATTTTTGTATGAAAAGGAGAAGAAGAAAAAAAAATATTCACAAGACGTCCATGATTACTAATCGACATTGAATATATATATATTTCAATCACATGATTTGCTTTGGCGTATTCTTAGGGAATTCATCATAAGATATGCCTGTTTGTCTGTCGTCAAAATACGTACAATATCCATCTTTCCCTCCTCGTTCTTTTTTCTTTATATACGTGTAATATGATGCATTCCAACATACTATTTTGTTCTGACTTTGTTTCTCTATTGTAATCAACCTGTATAAAAGAACAAAAAAGAACAAAAAAGAAAAAGACAATTATAAAACGTCTCGACATCAAAAAGCAATGAGTTTCGTTCAATTGCTCGTCATCATTGTACATAAAAGCCTTGGCCTTGGCATACGATCTGTATACAATAATACGACCTTTGTTGACGGGCGCTTGTAAACGCACTCGTGTTTAATGACTCATATAAGAGAAAATCACTGTTGCATATGTACAAAAAAAAAGAGAAGAAAAAAAAGCGAAGGCCATAAACAGACATACTAAAAAACCTTTCTTCATGTCACGTAAATAAAAATCAGCTGTTTAAAATAGATAAAGTACCATTGTATATATTGAAAATTTCCTTCACTTTAGTCGTTAAAATAAAAACAAAATTGTTCAATTCTTTTCTCTCGAGAAAAATATAATAAAAAAACATAAATATTCTATCTCTCATTATTTTTCTTTTCGTTTATTTTTGACTGTTTTCGCAGAGAATCAGTATACTATTATCGAATTTTATTTTTCTTTCTACGCGCTTTCTTTCTTTCTTTTCTTCGTCAATACTGACGCATACGGTTGATTTCTCCTTCAAATAAAACGACGATTATACCTTTTGTACAGTGCATATGAGAGGTTGAAACTGACACGTAGTCGTATATACATGTGCATTATGTTACGTACTTTTTCTTTTTGATAATGTATTATTATTATTATTATTATTGTCGTCGTCGTCGTCATAGTTGATAATATTGCTCAATGTGGTGAGTTATTCGTTGTGGTTGTAATAATTTTACTGTTCTATATTGAATAAAAAAGAAGAAGAAGAAGAAGAAGAAAAAAAAAGAGAAAGTGAGGGAGAAAAAAAAGAAAATGTCATCATCAACGTTCACTCAACGGTGGACATCTGTACACGATTTGACAACGAATAGTAACAATAACAAGAGGTTAAATTTATTTTTTCTACAACCGTTGTCATCAACAGATTCCAATGCATTTACATTTCCACTACGACCTACACAATCATTGATCTCACTAGTCGAACCATCATCTTCATCCTCATCATCATCACGACCATCATCTCCTCATTCATCAGGACAAACAAAGTCATCATCATCTCGTGTTGCTGATATTATTAATCGATTTGAATCTCAAACTATATCACCAATGAGTAAAAATCAGATTAAAGGATTACCTCGAACGCCTAGTATTTTTACTAAACAATGGGAAAGAAAGTCTTCTCGAACTCCACTGAATGCCGTTATTGAAGTTCCTTCAACTTCCGTTCAATCAAATTCTAAAACGAATAATAATAAAGCACAACCCATAATTATTTATGAAAGAATAACTAATCATGATAGGCCAGATAAATCCACATCAACACCTCCACCTGTTAGTCCGAAAAGTCCATTAGTAAAAGCATGGATACAAAATAGAGCAAAATCACAACAAACTATTGAAAGTGATACTGATTCTGCTGTACATACGATGGCTGCTGTAACAACTACTGGTATGAATGATTCTATTGCATCATCACGTTCAAATACAACTGAATCAAGTTGTTCGTCATCTTTATCTCTATCTACTTCTCCATCAATTCCTCATTTTGCTCTACCTACAATTGCTTCAACACAAAAACAACGTGATATGACTTCGAATTCAACATATTTTAAAAGAACTTCTTCACCTCCATCACCGACTATAGTTACTTTTACACGTGCAATTCCTTCGATTCCCTCTACATCTAATGAAACTCCTGAACAATCACATTCATCATCATCATCATCAACAAATTCTTGTATATCTGAAGAAATTTTAGTTGATGAACATCCTCAATTATCATCTCCAGATACTACTCCATCAGAAACAACTCTAATTCGAAATATAATAAATACAAATCTACCATTAAAATACAAAAGAGATTCACTTATTCGACTTTATGGGTAACATAAATACTAACGTTATTCTTTGCTTCACTAACAATACTATTTACATTGAAATATTTTCATTAATCATAACTATTTTATTATTATTTATATATAAGTCATATAGTTATTCTGCTTATTATTTAGACCTGATGCTTTACAACAGCATAGTACTCCTAAATCCCATGATGTTATTCTTGAAGATGGTAATTTAAAAAAAGAAAAGTCTTTAACTACCATAGCAAAATATATTTATATATTCTAGATATTGATCTACCATTTTCACCACGTATTGTTAATGTAAAAAAGAATAAAGCAGTATCTGATGAATATGAACTTATGGAATTTCTTGGAAGGTAATTTTATAAATTTTTTTTTGATCTATTTTTATGAATGAATAATTGTAGAGGAAAATTTGGTGAAGTTAAAAAATGTCGTGAAAGAGCAACGAAACATTTATTAGCCGCAAAATTTATCCAAGTACATAAAGAACAAGATCGTATTGAAGCATATAATGAAATTGAAATAATGAAAGCACTTCAACATCCTAGACTTTTACAACTTTATGATGCTTTTGAAACCAAAGGAGATATTTGTCTCATTATGGAGCTGTAAATATTTTATCTTTTCTCTTTTTCTTCGTATAAAAAAATCATTTTTATTATTTATGAAATTATAGAATTAGTGGTGGAGAATTATTTGAACGTGTTATTGATGATGGTTTTATATTAACAGAACGTCTTTGTGAATTATATATGATGCAAATATGTGAAGGTGTTAATTTTATGCATTCATGTAACATTATTCATCTTGATATGAAGGTTTGTCAATTATTTTAATAAAATTATTTATTTTATTTTGTATTTTTTAGCCTGAGAATATTTTATGTTTAAATCGAAATGGTCATCGTATAAAAATAATTGATTTTGGTCTTGCAAGAAAATTTGATCCAACTAAACAACTCAAAGTATTATTTGGTACACCAGAATTTGTTGCACCTGAAGTTATTAATTTTGATCGAGTTGGTTTTGGTACAGATATGTGGTCAGTCGGAGTAATATGTTATGTTTTGTAAGTAATTTTATTTAAAATATCGAATAAAAATAATATTTCTTCTAGATTGTCCGGTTTGAGTCCATTTATGGGTGAAAATGATAATGATACATACGCAAATATAAATCGAGCTAATTATGATTTTGATGATGAAGCATTTACAGATATATCAGATGAAGCCAAAGATTTTATTTCAAAATTACTTATTAAAAATAAAGAGTATAAAATTCAAGAAAAAAAAATATATATCTATAAATGTTTTGTTTATTTCCTAGTAAACGTCTTCAAGCTAAACAATGTCTTGCTCATCCATGGTTAACTCGTCGACCTAAATCAGTAGCAACTCCTAATGATGATGAATCAGCTGAAAAGAAATTATCTACAAAAAAATTACGTAGATTTGTTATACGACGACGTTGGCAGGTTAATATTCTATAGAAAAAGAAATTTATTTCGAATAAGATTAAATTTTTTTCTTATCTATATTTAGAAAGCGGTCAATGCTCTATTAGCATTGAAACGTATGGGAATGACGTTGTGAAAATACCACGACTCAACTTACTTCATTTTGTTTTTTTTTCTATTCTATTATTTTACATAATATTTTTTTGTTTGAGTCGCGTGTCTTTCACAAATAAACATCGCTTTTCTTTTTTGTTTTTGTTTTTTTTTATAATTTTTTTATTTTTATTTTTTCGCTGTTGTTACCTGTGGTTCGATTCAATTTGTTCGCCCAGAGAATAAAGCGTGTGTATGTCAACATGAGAGTTCAATGTTTATGTGTACATTATTTTTTTTTATTATTATTATTATTATAATTACTTCTGCTATAAGAAAAAAAAAATACGTGAGAGACAATTTTTAAATTAATTTTAATTTTCTTCAAAAAGAAATTGAATACCTGTTCAAATCCATAAGCAATACGTAAAAGCATTGATTCTGACCATGCAATTCCTGCAAATATTAAACCATATGGTTCATCATTTGATTTATTAAAACCTAATTAATGAATAACCACAACATCAGGTATGATAAGTCTATTTAATTTATATTGAGTTAATCTATAACAAACAAGAATTATTTTTATAGAATAAAGTTTGAAATATATATATTTGTTGTTATTCAAATAGATGTCATAACTCAATACGATGAGAATGAGTATTTTTGGGTAGTTCTATGCACAATTGTGTATCATTTTGATGACGAATAATTTCTATTTGTTGTGTTGCTTTATCTCGACTATCAACACCTTGCATTACTTCGATCTAATGAAAAGAAAATATTTTTCCTCTAATTAATCATAAGATAAACTAATTCAATCCTATTCCAAGTTAAAGAGTAGATTTCTAATTTGAGTTAGAATATATAAATGGACATAGTGAAAAAATTAAATCTGCTATATTTTTGTCGGAATAAATTTAGTTTTTAATTGACTTCTATAAGAACAACTAATAAACTAAAGGAATCTAGACTCTTCTTTTCCTCTTACCAAAGAGAGAGACAAACAGTATTTCTTGAGTTATGGATTATTATAGTTGCTGGCACCTTTAAATGTCATTTTTCATTGGAAACGACTTGTCATCGATGTCTAATAAAATAGTTTTAGACTTAATAGAATCCATGTCAAACTTTTCTACACATACATTTTTCTTTAAAATATACATAAACCTAATACAGTTATCTATTGATGTTTGGTATATCATTAGTTAGTCCGTAGTATCATCACAAAACAATGGAGAGTCAAGTATTTAAGAGACGTTTTGTAAAATATGATTCGTTATATTGCTCGAAATGTAAATATAACAAATATTATGATTGATTAAGAAAAATAATTTGCTGTCTTATTATTTGATCTCTATTTTTTTAACAACTGTTGCTTCTAATAGTAATAGTGTATTAGTTTCTGATCTTCGTTATTTTGAACAAGTATTTATTGATGATATTAAATCATAGATTAAAAACAATTCGTCATGAATTACCGTATAATATTGATTCAAAGCTCCTTAATCGTCTGAAAAACTTCTTAATAGATTTATCATGCAAAAGACACATTTTTATTGAATGTCTTTGATTATTTATTTGTTTATTTATTTAATGAAAGTGTATCTGTTGGTTGTTCCCATCAAATAACATTAGACATAGATATGTTACAATAGTATATATGTATTTTTTTTCTGTTGATCATTAGCTTCGAATTATTTATTCTTAAGTGTAAGTAAATGTCTTCATATGTTTTTCCAGTTGTTTCATATATTAATTGATAAACTTTACTGATTTTTCCATCAAACAAGAATGTTTCCCTTATAATAATATGTATCTAATAAAATAGATTTAATTCTTGAGATCAATGTTAATTAAATCTTTAAGATGAAATAACTAGATGATTTTTCTTGAAAATTTCTTTCTTTTTTTATTCTTATGTTGTGAAATATTTGATAATGACTAATAAATATTAAATATATTTCTCATTGAAGATTATTTTTAAACGAAGAATCGAATGAGATTTATTCAACGTAAAGGAAAAAAATAACAACATAGAAATAAATGTTTTTATAAGTATTGCATTTTGTAGAATTTGAATAAGTTTGATGATATATTTACTCTTAGTGAGAAAATAAACAAAATGACACAATAATTAAAATAATGAAGAAGTCCAATGAAATTTTGATGTAATTGAGGTATATACTGTTACTTCTGTTTAATCCTCTCGTTGCCTTTGTGGTTGGAATGAAATAAAAGAGAAAGATAAAATCAATGTGTAAAGGATACTGTCTGCATCAATTAATCGTCTTCCGAATAGCATAAAAGTGCGTATATGTCATATATTTTCGTATTTACGTACTATTTCACGGTAATTAAAATTATATCATTTATATTTACTATAATTCATTAGAAAGATATCTTTTATATTGAAACTTTTGTTCTCTTAACAAACATTGTAATTATATGAGTAGCGATTGATGATATGTATCAAAATTATCAGATTCATCTAATGAAAATACATAATATATTTTAATCAATCGAAGCTTCGTATCATTCGCAGGAAGACAGATTCTGAGCTTGAGTAATTTTAAGTCAATTGAGTGATTTCGTATTGTTAAAGATGTAAGGATGTTAATTTTGTATTGAACTATAGGTATTGGTTAAGGGTTCGTATTTAAATGATCATTATTTTATTATAATTCGATTCAATTTGTTCGCCCAGAGAATGAAGCGTGTGTATGTCAATACAAGAGTTCAGTATTTATGTATACATTATTTTTTATTATTATTATTTGCTATAAGAAAAAAAAAATACGTGAAAGACAATTTTTAAATTAATTTTAATTTTTTTAAAAATTCGATTATTTTAAAAAGAAGTTGAAGAATATATCCATATTGTTCGGCATATTTTGGTCGAACAGTATTTCGTACAGAAAATGCTTGTTCAAATCCATGAGCTATACGTAAAAGCATTGATTCTGACCATGCAGTTCCTGCAAACATTAATCCATAGGGTTCATCATTTGATTTATTAAAACCTAATGGAACAACAATTAATGGATAACCAGCAAATGAAGCAAATACAGTAATTTCATGTGTAACATCAGGTATGATAAGTCCATCTAATTTATGTTGAGCTAATCTATAATAAAAACAAGAATAATTCATCCAGAACATGATTCAACTCTTTTAACACGAAATTAAACAAAAGTGTTAGCTAATTAGACGTCATAACTCAATAAGATGAGAATGAATATTTTCAGATAGTTCTGCTCCTGGTTTTATAATAATAGTCAAGTAGACAATCATAATATCGTTTAAATTCATGTTTCACAAAATAATTTACTTACATAGCATCAATTCCATCTCGTCCACCTATTAATCGAGTTTTATTATATAGTTTTATATAATCATTAGTAGTCATATTTGTTTTATTTTCAATAGAAATAAATACATTTTGATTTGGAGAATATTCCGGATGAAATTCTTTATCAGCATGTTCAATATTAAATTTAATAATATCTTTTACAGATCGTATTGTAGTATTTTTCAGTTCTGATAAATAATTTATAATATCATCACGAAAATTATAAGATGCAAGAGATTGTAAATCATCTGTTATAGTATCATCATCAGAAATAGTGATATTAACTGGATCAATAATAGATGCCCCATGAATACTCATTAATTTGATAGCTTCATTCACTCTATTTTGTCTTTCATCAGTTATATTAATTCCTATAATATAATATTAGAGTTTTATGCAATTGGAATTAATTCAAACTTACCTTCACGTATAACACCTAATCGAAGATCTCTAAGTCCTTCTATACCAAGTAGAAATTGTGTATAATTTTGATGACGAATAATTCCTTGTTGTTGTGTTGCATTATCTCGGCTATCAACACCTTGTATGACTTCTATGTAATGAAAAAGCAAAATATTTCTTTTGTAATTAATCATACGAGAAAATAATTTAATCTTATACCAAGTAGAAGAGCAACATCTTCAACAGTTCTACCTAGAGGTCCAACTGTATCATGATCATGTGAGATTGGAATAACACCTGAACGTGATGTTAAACCAACAGTTGGTTTAAGACCAACAATATTTGCACGACTTGCAGGTGAAACAATACTACCAGCAGTTTCCGTTCCTATAGCTGCTGCACATAAGCCAGCACTTGTAGCAACAGCTGAGCCACTACTACTTCCATATGGATCACCATTAGCAACATAAGCTGAACTATAACAATCTTGAATATTTTTTATTTATGCTTATTAAAAATAATTTACTTAGTTAAACCACCACGTGCAGACCAACCTGCTCTTGTTACATTTTCTGATTTAAAATTACTCCATTCTGATAATGATGCTTTACCAAGAATAATTGCACCTGCTTTTCGTAATTGTTGAACAACAAATGCATCTCGTGGTACACGTGAACCAAACAATGCTAAACTACCAGCTGTTGTTTCCATTTTATCATATGTTGCAATATTATCTTTGATAAGAATAGGTATTCCATGTAGAATTGATCTTGAACCATTTATATGTCGTTCTTGATCAAGTGCATTTGCAATTTCAAGTGCATCAGGATTAGTTTCAGTAACTGCATGAAGTGGATGAGAGCCTTGTCGATTAACAGCATCAATACGAGATAAATACCAACGAACAAGATCAGATGATGAATAACGACAAGCTGATAAATCTTCTGCTAATGTTTTAATATCTACTGTTATTGGATCTATTAAAGGAATAGGAGAATAAGTTGAACATGATGATTGAAAGATTTGTGAAGAATTTATTGATATACGTATAGAATCTAAAATATATAATAAGTGGAATATTTCTTATTATATTTTTCTTGACTTACTTAATATAGTATAACTATTTGTCGTTTTGAATAAGATGACATTAAATATTAACAACAATACATTAATATTATACATTTAAAGCTGTTTATCTGTATCTCTGATGATAAAGTAACAATCCTTATTTACATTTATAACTTAGACATGATCCATATAATATCGATGGTATCGTTTCTTTTTCGTCTGATACGATTACAACGTTTCACATGTTACAGTATAGTCCTACATTCTTTTCCCGTTCTTTTCATACAAATTAGTCATATGTATATGAATTTTAACGAATAAAACTCTTTTCATATTCATTTATAATTTGTAGCAGTTTATTTTGACTTATTTATACGAAGAATTAGTTTTCTCCAGTTAAATTTAGTTTGATTTTACTATTTTATTTCTTTAATTATTTAATCAAAATTATACTAAAATATCGCATGTTATCTATTCATTCGAAGAATACAAGGACAATTTTTTTATTTAATTCAATAAATTAAATAGATTTGTGAAAATTAGAATATAAATGATATAATCTATGTATTATAAAAAAAGAAAATGATGTTTTCTACTAGAATATCTAATACATGAATAATTACAATACAAAAAACTAATAATAAAATCTATTTTTTTTAAAGTTCTTTTCGAATAGCATCTTCTAGAACATCCATAGCAAAATTAGCATCTTCCATTGTAATACACATTGGTGGTTTTATACGAAAAACATTTCCAGAATTACCACCTTTTCCTAATAATAATCCATTTTCTCGACAACGATCTAATATTGCATTCATTTTTGCTATTGGAAATGGTTTACGTGATTCCTATGAAAAAAAACAAAAAGAAAAATATGATATATTTCTATTCTTTTCTCTTATTGTTTTACTTTATCTGTAACCATTTCCATTCCAATAAGTAAACCTTTGCCACGAACATCACCAACAACATCAGGTAATTGATCACGAAGTTTTGCTAAACGTTGTAAAATATGTGTACCAACTTTCAGAGTATTTTCTTGTAATTTTTCTTCTTTTATAACATCAAGTACAGCTGATGCAACAGCACAACCAATAGGATTTCCACCATATGTATTAAAATAATTTCCAATAGTTTTAGCTATTTCAGGTCGAGTTACAATAGCTGCAAATGGAAATCCATTTGCTATTGATTTAGCCATAACCACTAAAGAAAAATAACATATATATATTTAAAAAAAGAATGTCTCATTGCTTACCAATATCAGGTTTAGCTCCATGTGCTTGATAACCCCAGAAATGAGTTCCTGTACGACCAAATCCAGTTTGAACCTAATTTAAATAAATAAAATATTCATAAAATAAAAATTTTCTTTTGAAACAAACTTCATCTGCAATATATAATCCACCATTTTGTTGTACAAGTTCTGTTGCTCGTTTAACATAGGTTTTTGGAAATTGAACTGAACCACCATATCCCTATTTAATCATATTAGATTTTTCAAAAGTACATTATATATGCATATGTATAAACCTGAATTGATTCAATCCACATTCCAGCTACTTTCTTTTTCGAAACTTCATGGCTAAGTAATTCATCTAGTTGTTCAATATATTTATCTGATGCTTGGCATTGATCTTTTTCACAATTACATGAACGAGTCGTTTGAACAGGAGAATCTCGACAATGTCGACCACCCCATATACCACGATATGGATCAGGATTCATAGCAACACGACTTCCAGTTAGATACGGTCGTTTAAATCTAATATTTCAAAATTTAATAAAGAACAAAACTAAGTTTAATAAATACCCTGCAATATTTGTTAAACATAAAGTTGATTGAAGAACACCATGATAAGAATTTCTATTTACAAAAAAAATATATTCAATATATATACATATTAATTGAATTATTTTACCTTAATGAAATAACTTCAGTCTGTTTTGTATATTCTTTTGCTAAATGTAATGCTAAATCATTTGCTTCTGATCCACTGTTTACAAATAAACACACCTGAAAGAAGAAAAAAAAAAGAGTTTGTTATTTTCTTTATCTTATTTCGTTGCATTATTATTTTCTCACTGATAAACCTGTATCATCTTTAAAATGTTCTAATAGTTTTTCTGCATAATCTCGTACAGTATCTTGTAAATAATATGTTGATAAATGCCAATATTTATTCATTTGTTTTGTTGCTGCATCGATCAATTTTGGATGACAATGACCAACACCAACAGTAACAATACCAGCAAAAAAATCTAAATAACGTTTTCCAGCTGTATCATAGATATACTGACGTTCAGCACGAGCAACATGTAAATGATCTTTATATTGAAGAAATGGAAATGAAAGATGTTGTGAAAAAAATTCACCAATTGATTTCTTATTTGTTGATGTACTTCGAATTATCTAAAGAAAAAAAACCGATCTATTTAATAAATAATTTTATTTGTAAATACTTGTTTTGACGTTGTATGAAGTGAGCGAAGCAACATTTTCTTTATCGATGTAAGTATTTTAATGGAGTATGTAAAGGTATTTTATTCTCGCAAAATAAAGAAAAAAAAAGATAAGACAACGTGTGTCATATGAGAAGCATCAATAGCAAATGATGTTACGTTTTACTTCGATATATATGAACTCTTATTCATAGATTAATCTTACTTGCTATCTATATGTTTAATTATTTGTAAACATGTGATAAGAAACAGTACATAACTGTAACAAAAAAATACTTTCTCCAAAATTTTAATTCCTACTGTATTGTATGATAGAATATTTTAAACGACTAAACACATTAGACTGTTGATTGTATTTCGGCTAGAAAGTTATAATATAGCTTTTATCTTATGTTTGTGTGAAAAGATAAAAATAAAAAACAAAACAACAATGATTTGAAGAACTTATCAAAAATATAAAACTAATGTTATCGTGCGCATATTCTCAACAAGCAAATTAAAGGTTAAACTGATCTTTCGGGATATTTCATTTGTTAGAATATTTTGTCTTTTGTTTAAGTAGGTTAACGTACTGCAGACCTTATGATGAAAAAGATAATCAACAATACATGATTATTATTAGTTTATTTCTTTTCATTTTGATAAGTAAATAAATCATACTATCTTTTCTAAAAACATGAAACACATGTATATCAATCTGACGTTATATTAAGATAATTTTAACTATGAGCCAAAATATATATACGCAGTATAGTGAAAATCTTTTTTGCCTGGAATATCGATTGTCATTGATATATATTTTCAATAGTAAACGCTAAAAATCCAGATAAAAATAGACGGATATTGTTAGTAATGGAAGTGATAGAAAATTATTATGGTTCTTTTACTAAACTTGCTTTATTTTATAACAATTTTTATTTACATCATCAAAATCTTTTTGATTATAATCTACACTATTAATTCGAATATCCTTCTCATTTATTGTCAATTTCTCTCAACATCCATATCATTCTCGTTTATTATATTATCCTTGATGCTTCATCTTTATCATTTGTTTATTTGATACTCAAATGGTTCATTTGATATAGTACGTTTATTTTCAGTGTATATTGAGATCAAATACATATATTTTGAATTACATCAGATTTTCAAGTATTTCATTGTCTGATTTTGTAGCTTTCAGAATAATTTTGATTATCGATGGACACAAAAAATCACTGTAGTGGATAATACTTTCGTTAAAAGAGTAAACATAGTTTGTATTGATTCAAGATAAGCAAGAAGAGTTTATATCATTCAAAACAAATGAATTCAAGAGTTTTATAAAAAGAAAAGAAAAAAAAACAGAACAAAAAATAAATCACTGTATTTTATCTCAATCATCATTCTTATAATATTGATGATTTACGTAATTGAGATAGAAAACTATATCGTTGGTCAGTTGATTTTTGTTTTGTTGACGAAGATGGATGTCGTCTTGTCCAACCAATAATCAATGATTTTCTTGATGATAGTTCTTTAGTATTACGAGATTCTTTTCGTACAGATGAAGCAAGTAGAGGTGTTGATGATTCTTCTTGTGGAAGTTTTAACGATGGTAATCTTGGTGGGAGTGGTGAACATGTACATTGACTATTATCACTCGTACTCGTTGTTGCTGTTGTTGTTGTAACTGGTTGAGGTGTAAGATATGATCGAGAAAAGTTACTATAAGGTATACTCGTTTGTTGATATAATTGCTGTGAATGATGACAACCTATTGGAGACTGATGACGATGATTCATTGTTAATAAATATTCCGGTATACATTCATATTGATGATTTACTGGTGTATCATGACCATTAGTAATCATTTCTGTTGAGGAAATTTGTTGAGTTTCACTTAATTTCATAACATTCTGAGAGCAAATATTTCCCATTGGCATCAATTGATGAGAATAATAATCATCACAACAATTGCATGTATGTGATGTGCACTACAAAGACAAAAAAGATCTTATAATAAATCGAAATAACTTATGCACAATCATAGTATCTCTATATGAGTATGAAAAGATTCTTTTCTTTAATTTAACTTAAACTATTCAATAAGCAATCTTTCACAGAATTAATATTCGATTGATGCGTCTACAAAGATATATAATATTAGCATCTTTTTTGTAAATTAAATAGCAAAGTCATTTCTTGATCGAATACCCTCTATCATCAATGGTAAGTAATAACATGACTTTCATTTATTTATTGATTCACTACAAGGTCATGCTTCAATATAGTTTGATTATAATCTTATTTTTATTTTCATACAAGCAACTGTATTATTTAATTGTTTATCTATCGATTCATGCGTATAATATCAACATATTTTCTTTTTCTAAGCAGTGTAATCAACGAAAAAAAAGGATTTCTTTCTCAGTATTGTTCGATCGATGAATAGAATCTTTGATGACTAATATGAGAAATTCGAATGTTTTTTTTACCTCGGATTTCATTATCTATTCACCTATAAAAAATATATTCTATTGAATGGGGGAGGGGGACAATAAAAGGATCCAGATGTTATTGATTTTATCATTGACAAGTGTCTATTATCAATTTCCGTAAGAGATTGATTGATATAAAAAAATGTTTCACACCTGTCTGAGATCTTTTACACCCATACTTCATTTTCTAAAGTGTTTTCTCTCATTAACTAAAACAATATATTTGACCTTGAATATTTAATCAACTAGAAAGCATTGTATTACCTTGTAATGTTCACTTGTTCTTGTACAATGACGACGATAATGATGAGATTTTGATGATACTGAAGCAGACATAATATAATTTTGATATTGTTTTTCTTCTTTTCTTAATTTTCTAAAGTATTCCAACGAAGAAAAGATATTTTCAAAAAAAGAAATAGAAATTCTTATTTATACTTAAGACAAATAAAAATAGATATTGCAATAATAATACAACAAATAACACTAATTACAGCCAGAATTAAAAGAAAAATATTTAACCAATTGATTGGTGATTCTTCATATTTTTGAAGAATTGTTGGTGATGAAGAATAACTAAGAATTTTCAATGATGGTCTTACACATCGACCATTTAATATTTCAACTGTTTGAAAATTTTCAAATAAAGATCCAGATGGTTTTGGAGGTGGACGAATTGCAAATAAAGGTGGAGGTGGTAAACGACGTAAACCATCATTCTTCATCTAAAAAAATGCCAATAACAATATTTTTGACACTATATTATTAGAAAAAAAGCTTTTTCGTAGAAATAAATTCATAAGTCACGAACTACACATAGTTATTATCATACATTTCACATACTGACCTTCCCTTTTTCCTTTATTCCATAGAAGAATTTTTTATTCCAATGCCACCATTTCTAGATGGGTAACGCCTTTTCACTCAATAAACAATGATGATGACGAAGAAGGAAGATAGCGAGAGAAAAGTAGAGAGGGGAATAGATATTGTCCTTGGTAGGTGTCCCAGATTAAACTCAACGTTTATACTTCAGATGATTTTCGTCTTTTATAACATTCAACAAGTAGAATATATATATATACATATCTCATTATTACGTATTATAACGGGAAAAAAACTATTGAATGACCTAAACACTAGCTGTTATCACTATATACAAGTTGATATCGATGAAAATTCCTTGTCATCACATGTGCAAGTTGATATTCCATAGCTCAATGAATGTTATGTAAAAATCAGAAGAGAAAGAAAGAAAGAAAAAGAATATATATATACATATACATATACATATATGATTGATTTATCTCTATTGAATCGAATAAGAGCAAAGAGGAAAGAAAAGAAAAAGAATTGTCATTTTAAACATTCACAAATGTTTTGCCTCAAGGTCATTTTCTTTACATTCACTTATACAATTGAACAATCGTTTATCATCATATGAGTATGAATGTGCATCCTTCAATTAAGAACTAATGACATGTGACAACCCTTTCATTAACACAAGATCAAAATAAGCCAAGGGCAATTCAAGCGAATCGAAAAAAAAATACTATATATTTTTGGATAAGCAACGTGATGCATAATCTTTTTCTACTATACTAAGCTCTGATACTCGATGCTCAAAGGCACATCGATCTAATCCTATTTGTTATTCGATCCACATACTATATATATATTAATGTTCAGATGTATATCGAAAAAGAGAGAGTGAGAATGAGAATGAACTTATCATAATTATATAATCATTTAATTAAAGAAAATGAACTCTTATTCACACCTTATGTCATTATTTTGACGACAAAAAAGAAAGAATTCCTACTTGTCTTTATCTATTCACCTAAGATGACCATACACGCAAACATCAATATATAAAGATTTTAATCTATATTATACAGTCAATTGATTCGTGTATGAAAAAATATGCATATGTTATTCAAGACTTAAAACATTTCCTCTTCATTGAAAAGTTCTCAAAATGATGTAATCATCATATATGATAAAAACGAGACAAACAATTGAGAAATCATTCAACATCTGTTCAATATATACATACATATAAATTAATAGATGAAAAACATAATTCATTAATAAAAACTCACCCAATTTTTTCTTCTTCTTCTTCTTCTAAGATGACACTAAATAATTCTACAAGTACTACTTATTATCTACACATCAGTATTCGCTCTATTGAACTTTTACTATTATTGATGATTATGCAAAGAATAAGAAGAATAATCTGGTGTGTGCATGTGCACAAAGATGATGAAAGAATTCTGTTATAGATTCCTTTTTTTTACTCGAGAAAAGAAAGAAAGGAGAGAAATAACGTAGAAATATCTAATGATAATAGGAATCGAAAGGTTCAATAGATAAAAAAATAAGAAGAAGAAGAAGAATTGTCTTTTGCCTTACTTAGTTCAATACATATATCATCTATATTCTCTGATCCAATATTTGCCAAGTAGTATAAAAAGAAACAGAACATTTTTTTGTTCTCATCTCATTTCTCTTTCTCTCTTTCTACTTTATTATATGGAATTAGCCTCATTCTTTCTTAGAGAAGGTCAATTCATACATATTTGGACAAATAAAAGAGGTTATTCCGTTGAAAGAATGTCTTTTTAGACAAAAAGAAACATGCGGACACCTACAGTGTCATGTAAGACGATCTTTTCTTTTACATTCATATCCTACCTTATTATATGTATATGCATTGCGGGGGTATTGACCAGACGAATAGACTGTCTAATCTTTCTTTCTTTTTCGTCTATATGTGTTTGACAATGTGAACATATGCTTAGATGTTTATTGAACGTGGCGAGTGTTTGACAAATATTGAATGTAATCCAACTGTATTTTAATTTGATTTTTTTCTTCTTTGAAGAAAAGTCTTTTTTATTCAAACGAAAGAAAATTATTTTCCATACATATAATATTTATAAATATTCGGACCTTCAGAATATTTGTTGAGTTATGACACAAAAAAAAGAAGAATGTGATAATGATCTAATCAAAAGGGTATAGATTAAATTATGACCGAAACAGCTGGACAATGTCAAGTGGGAATAATATTGAGCTAGAGGCATGAGCGGTTCGAAATGAAAAAAGAAATTGCTTATGTGTCAATGATTCTCTTAGGATAGGACAAGATATGTCATAGATACGGACAGGTCAATCTCTTCGGGCAACATAACTACTAAGTATGTCATTGCTCACATTGTGTGCAGACAAATGAGGAATCCTATCATGAACAATGTCTATTCAAGAAAAAGAAAAGCTATGATCTTTTATGAATGAAAAAAAGATTATTCTACCAATAATTTCTTTTTTTTGTTATAGACACTTATTAATGAAAACAATACTTTCGTGATTCGATTGAATTTATGAAAAATTTCTTCTTCGTATTCATTTATTAATCTATATATATTTTTTAGTTTTAACAAGAAAGAAAAAAGAATGAGTTCCTATTTAAAATAAATCCGATCGGAAATTATATTCTTTCTTTGTTTCATTTTAACAAGTCATTTCAGTTGTTCTATTCTACGATAATAGTTTATTATGTAACATTAATACTTGTTAAATAAGAGAAAAGACCTAACACATCGAATATATTACTAAATAACTTCATTATATTCTTAGACAATTATCGATTCTATTACTTTTTTTTTTCAAGAGTATTTAATATAATTAACATCTCTGGAATTCATTTTTAACGGTTGAATTCTAGACTTAATATTAATTATTTACAAAATGAGAATTACCAAGAATAGAAGGTTTCGATTTATAAAATGAATTATTCCAATAAAATCTTTATTATAAATAAATCCAAATGAGGCTAAGAAAATTCTACAAGTAGTCATGCCTATAGTATATATATCTACTAAAAATTTTACGAAAAATAACGATGTCACATTGATCGTGTCATCAGTATTAATTAATTAATCGTAGTTATACAGTTTATTTTAATCGAAATACTATATCTATAATTTTCCAATGACTATCTGAGTGTCATACATGTCATTTTTCACAGACTACCTACACGTCATACTTGTCACATTTAAATCCACCCTAAATGTCATACCATACGACATTCAGATCGCTTCTAAACAAATTATATAATACTTAATAAAATATATTCATGTTAGAATAAAAGCAAGACTGAACAATTATTCTCAACGATTCTGGTAATAATTGTGCATTTCTCCGGCGAAGTTTGAACTTTGTATTTATTGAGTAACATATACCAAAACAAAATAACATACTGTATATTTTTTGATTGCACATTGTCATTGTAATTAATAATGAATCAAGAAAAAAAATATCGATATTTACTTTTATACGCAATCATGCATGTCCCTCGCATATATAACATGATATATAGATTCGTTAGTAAACATATAATGAAATACGAATTAATCAAGGATGCATCTAAAATCAATCGGACGAAAATTATCGGACGAGGAAAAGAAAGAACATGAATGGGCTACTACAATGTATTTTCAAATGATGATTCCTGTAATAATTCTTATTATTGCTTTATTCTTAGCTATTTTGAATGAAAAACCGGTAAGAGTTTTATTTTCTGTTAAAATTTGTAATACATTTTATTTTTTTAGAACAAAAATAATACACAGTATGGAGCAAATGATAACATATTAACAATAACTTGGAAAATTATCTATGAAAAATTTATATTAGCCAGAATTACACACAAACAAAATCAGAGTACACAAGATTGATTATTTCGGTGATATATAAAAATTTATACTTTTTTTTATCTAATCTTTATGTTTACATGTTTTTGTTTTTCTCTTTTTGTATGATATTGAATAAACAATAGTGATAACATATAGATTTATATCTTAGGTCGCAAAGATCGAAAGAAAAATATGAAGACATAGCGTATATAGTTATGGCGAAGAAAGATAGAATTACAAGTAACTATCGATATTGATCTATCTTATCAAAATTCTTCTTCATCTGTCTACATAACATAGAACTACAATGTTGAAACACCATTTTTTTGTACCAATATCAAGTAATGAAAAATATATAATCAAAATTATTAGTAGAATAAGTTTGGACAAATCTCTGATATTGTTTGACATGTTCTACATTCAAATAATTATAAGTATTGTTATACCTTTTCTTTTAATTTTTCTTCAAATTATTTATCTACACATGTAAACAGATAGAGTAGGTTCGACTATGCCCTCTTTCTTTCTCTTCATTTATCTAAATATGTAAGCAGACAAAAAACATATGCGTCGTATGTTCTACATGATCGAGTACAGCATAAATTGAATTTAGTATGTAATAATATGAAACATCGAAATATGATGTGATATATTAAATGCGAAACAGAAACTTGAGAGAAAAGATTTATATTCAAACAAATGGAATTCGTTACATGTCTAATTGATTTATCGATGTCCGTCATTTATAAATTAATAGATAAAATTATTCTTCAGTGTTAATTTTTTGATTTTACTATACATCTCTACATTTTATCATTGATTTCAACGCAATAGTATAACTATATAGTCATCTAAGGATACTAAAATATTGTGTCTAAGTAGTTCGAGCATATTATTAGCATATTATTATATTTTTTCTTCGGCTCTTATACGCATGCAAAAACAAATTTTATTTCCTTAAGAAACCATGTTCAATAACAGATTCATAAAAATGATTAGATGAATAAATCTTATTATTATTCTTCTATCTATTTCGAAAAAATATAATTTCTTTTCGCACATTTTTATCAATTATATAAGGTCAACATGCCTTATCATCAGTTAAGTATTATATTCTAATTGATTATTAGACAATAAATTTTCGTCTATCTTCTTTCATGATAAATATATATATATAACTTTTAAAAAAAAGTTAACTGCATCATGATATATATGCATGAATAAACAGACTAAAAATATTTTACAACTAAATGGAAATAATATTAATGTGCATCTGGTTCTAAATATAGTTAGTTAATTTTTTATGTAGGTCATATATATATCTATTAACTTTTAATAAGTAATGCCTGGTAATATCATTATCCATCTGATGGTTTATTATCAAATTGCATGAATAAATTTATATATATATATTTAAAAAGCATTTTTGATTTTAAATAGTAATTACTTTAGTTTTTTTCTAATAATAACTTTCTTTCTTTCTTTCTTTGATCTTATTATTTCAAAAAAGAACTTAAACTGAATTCTTCTGTGTATTCCAATATTTAACAAAGAAATTGTAATTAGATAAGATTCTTTTCTCTAGAAAAACGAGAAGAATAATTTTCGATTTCCCATTTGATCATAAAATGAATAGAAATAATTTTTCATCATCATAATTATTTCTTGAGTCTGGCTCTCGGCGTTAATTTACGAAAAAAGAAAGAGAGAAAACGAAAAACTCAGACATTTAAAATAAAGAAGTAATACAATAAAAAATAATGAAATGATTGCGAGCGAAAAAGAATAGAAGGAAAAGCACGCACACACATACATTTACAGAAAAAAAAGAAAAAAAAAACAAATAAGAAAGGAAACGCGCAAGTTAGATACGTCAAATAAACAACAAAAACAACATTGACGACAAGCAGCCAGAAGAAAAATCAAGATATAAGATACACCGCACACACGACAGCAAAAGAAATAAAGCCGTCTCCGATCAATATACTTGACTAGTCGCACTCTAGGTAGTTTGAAAATAAGAACAAGAAAAAAAGTAAGAAGAAAAAAAGAAAAGCCAAAATATGAATAAAAGAAGAATCGACCGGCGCTTGTCGAGATTGACAAAAGAATAAAACGAAAGCTAGAGAAACAAGAAGCTGAGCGACGACGATACTTGGTATCTGGATATACGCGAGAATGGTTTTTTTTTATTATAAAAGAAAAGAAGTGATAAGTATTGTATATATATTTCGTCTAATAAAGACCACTGGCACGGAGATTATTTGTTATGATGACATCAGTAACAGCATCACTAGAATAGAGAGAGAAGAAAAAAGATAGTAAGATTTATATCTATTTTTGCTAAATAACTTACAATACAAATTGAACATTCTCCGTATCTGTAGCGCATGTTAGATGACAGTAAATTTCCTAAGTAGAGAAAAAAAGAGTTTGTTTTATTTTTAAGCCAAAAACTTTTATAACAAACTTTTTGTTCGCTCTTATTCTGTGCCACGAATTGAGCTTGGATATATTCGCTTGCTTCGGTATAATCATCTTTACCTTGGTATTCTGGAAAACATTTTCTATAAAGAAAAAAAACTTTCTTCAGTTAGAAAAAAAAGTCTAAAACAATCTTCTTACCTTAAACTTGATCGTGTGATTTTTTCAGAGAATAAATCTTTTTTATTCAAAAAGAGAATAATCGATGTGTTAACAAACCATTTATTATTACAAATTGAATCGAATAGACGAAGAGATTCATGCATACGATTAGTTGTTTCATCTTCAACAAGTACCTTTTAATAGTAAAATTAAGGTTATATTCATTTTTCAATTTTTTTCTAAATATTTACTTGATCATATTCACTTAAAGCAACAATAAATATAATTGCAGTTACATCTTCGAAACAATGAATCCATTTTTTACGTTCAGATCTTTGACCACCAACATCAAATACACGAAAATTAAGATCTAAAAATATATATATCTTTGTATATTTAAATTTTTCTTTGCAAATTAATATGAAACCTTTAAATGTAAAATTAATTTCAACAATTCCAGTTGTTTTAACACGTGTTCGTAAAACATCTTGTATACTTGGTAAATATTGTGGTGAGCCAATTTCTTCTAATTTATCAAGAAAATATTTCGCTGAATCATTTAATTGATATTCATTTGAACGAGTAAAACATGTTTGAACACCAATATCATTCCATAATTTTTTCATTGCATCGAGTAATTCACTTTCAAATGGTTCCGTATCGGCCATACGAGAAATTTTGTCCAATACTAAACAATTTAAAATTATTAACTTTCTTCTTCTTCTTCTTTTTTTTGGAATTCTTACCCATAGCAGCATCTCGTTCACGATCATTTGAGCCAAATTGAACGTTAAGAGTTTCCATAGCTCGAATAATAGTTGCTAATGATTGAATTGTATTTGAATAAACAACTTCTCGATACTGTTCAAAATCTTCTTTTGAATATCCATCCATATGAATAATTTTCATTTGTTTTAATATTGTTGATTTACCAGATTCACCAGCACCTGTTCAAGTATTTATTTAAAACAAAAAATAGAATTGGCTTTTCTTTTTTTTTTAATTAATTTTTACCGAGCAAAAGTAATTTGACATCTTTAGCTGCTCGTTCAGCATCTTCTTTCAATTGTTTATCTAATGCTTTACTTCTTTCCATAGCTTCACGCTCTTCAGCGTTCATACCAGATGCACAAAGACCCATTGTTGATGGAAGTAACTTTTTACGTAACTATATTAGACAAAAATATATTGATAAAAAATATTCTCAGGTAACCCGACAAATAGAAAATTTATAATAAACTGCTAATATTTATTGTGACTATCTTATTCGGAATAACGAACTTAATAATTACTCACTTAGTAGATCAATCGAAGAACACATATTCATTTCGACGAAAAAGAATATATTTATTAATATTGAGTAAAAATAGAATTCTATGTATACTTCTCAAATAAATAATAATAATTCTCCAGACTTTACCCTATCAAGATTATTTTATTGAAGTATTTTTTTTTCCTTTTACACGAAAGTAACAAAGTGCTTTTTGTTATTTTCCCTTACTTCCGTTTATCGACACACACACAGACAGAAATACATCTAAAAACGCCTACGGTCTTCTTTTTTTGTGTTCCATATAAATATATATATATTTATAACGTTCTTTTGGTTTTGATGATCGGAAAAAATAGAAATCGCGTGCTACAAATCACCTTAACTAATTAGATAGTTACGAAAAAAAAGCGAGGGAATTCTTTTTAATTTCTGATTAAATTTAGTAATAACGAAGAAACAAACCTCCGACATGCATTTATTTTCGAATGTTGTTTATGATGTTCTCTATTTCTTTCCCTTTCATTTTTTATCTATTTAGTGTTTGTGATACTTATTAATAGTAGAACTATTCCCTGTATTTTTTTTCAACAATCTCTTATTTCTCTTATTTATATCGGTATTGGTAACTAGTTAGAATTGAAAGAGGAAAAAGAAAAACCTGTGAAATTGTGTGCGTGAGTAGTGTATATTATTTGACAGATATGTTGAATAAGAACAGAAAGATTTTTTTTTATCCGGTATTTCTCTTCTACTTACCATATTGAATTATTTTATATTCTTTTTTTTCCTCTTCTTCTTCTTCTTCTTCTTCTGTTGCTAGTGTTATTTTAAATACAAGAAAGAAAAACACACCGTACTGTCAACGTTCTTCGGTAGTTAACTCATTTACTTGAAATGTTTCTGTGCTACGCGTTCCTATAACAGAATATTTTCTTTCTTCTTCGCCTTTTCTTTACACTTTTTCTTCTTCTTCTTCTTCTTTTTCATTATTATACTGCCGGACGGATTTTTTTTTCCTAGAACTATCGTTGTCACTAAAAAACAGGATTAGTTTCTATGATGAAGATAACAAACATCATTAATTGTTATCATACGACTAGTCTAGTATATGACAATTCAACACGATGATAAGGTTTATTAAAAAGTAAAAACTAAATAATTTGATTAATTAATTGAACACTTGAGAAAAAATCGTGTGTGTAAGAAAAAAAAGAAGAAGAAATTTTATATTCTTTTTATATCTACTTATTAGAAAAACCTAAAAATAAATCTACCTGGAAAGGAATATATATTTATGTTGTTACGAAAGTTTGATTTGATGTTATTAACGGACGTTCAATAATCTATATTTGAAAGAATAATAAATTAGATAATTGAATTTTAAATAGGATATATATATGTACCCTTTAAATTTGAAATAATAAAACATTGTTTGACAATTTCATTTAAGAAAGTTTTATATCTAGAAGAAAAAAAAACAATATCATCGTAATTTCTTTTTTTTCAGTATATATTGTTGATACTTGTGAATTAAAGAAATGCGGAGAAGAAAAAAGAAGATGGAATTGCTTTTACTATTAGATGCTAGTAGTGATGGTAGAACTAATATTGTTGTTATTGTGTTGTGGGTTGTCGTCTGCTATACTATGCACACTACACAGATAAAGAGAGAGAAAAAAACGAGAAGAGATAGAAGAGAAAAGCTTTCTCTATTTATGATGCTTCGTTTTTTTACGGAAAATTCTTTCTTTCTCGCTATTTAGCCAATAAGCAGTGGTTGGATCTGAACTACTCGCGCTCGTTCGTTTGCTTATTGCAATTCTTTTTTCCTATTCTTTTCTTCTTTTTCTTCTCTCGTAATAGAGTCGATAATAGTTCACACTCGTCGTCGGTCGGGTAACAGCTGCCGGCGAGCTATCCTCTCGCCCGTAGACTCTTCGCTGATGCCGCCTTTCTGCCTTTTCTCTTCTCCTCTTCCTCCTTTCTTTTTGTTGTCAGTAAGCAATGACGACGGACGGACGGACGGTCTGTAGCACGACGATAGAATTTCTTCTTCATTAATGTGATTAGACTACTGCTACTGCTCGACGACGCGCAGCGTTCTGTACGACCATCATCGTCGAGCAGGCAACACCACAAGATAAGAGCGGTGATAGTGCTGTTAGAAGAGAGCACTATTACCATCCGTATTCAATAGAAAATATTAGTAAAAGAAGAGGAAAAGAGAGGATACATGCATTCTCAGGCGAATAGACACAGACAGACAAACGAGCGAAGATGTCAAAATATAGAATGGAAAAGAAAAGAAAAGAAAGAAAGAGATAGACAGAAACTTGATTATACTGACAAAGAGATCGTAGTCGACGAACACACTAATGAATAATATTTCTATATTTTTATATCAAGATAAATTAGACTATCTTTCCGACTCATTGATTTTTCTCGTATCTTCAATTAGACGAACTAAAATATATCATGATTCATTAATATTCAAATACTTTGACAAATTCCTCTAGGGATCTAATTAAAATAAATTTCTTTTTTTCCTAAAGATATTATTATTATACCAATGGATACATCTATATTTGAAGAAGAACTTCACTTGATATCAAACATATAGTCTATAATTCATTCATGACTATCATGGAAGAAGAGAAAAAAATCATACTCAGGGTTATATTGATACATTATGCGAAGAAAGAGCAGCTGCGTTGTGATTTGTATGAATAAAAAAATAGAAAAAAGAAAATCTGTCGAACTTAAAGAAAATTTTCTAACTCATTGATGTCATATTATTATTCGTGCTTAAATAAAAGATAATCGCTCATTTATTTTTTTACAATTGATAATATATATTTTTTAAATGTCGTCTTATTTTATCAACAATGATGTGCTTACAAAACACATTACTTACGAAGTTTTGCACTTAACTGAACTCTTTTATTTAAAAACTCTATCTACTACGAGCAAAAAAAAGAAGAATATCTCTTCTCTCTTTGTTTTTTTCTTCATTTAGAATTAATATAAAAGATCAATAAAGAATAGCAAATAGTGATATTGTAAAAAATTATTGACAATTCTATTTTTATGAAAAAAATAATCTCTATTCAAAATAGACCAGTATCATAGCAAAAAATAGTTGCATGATCTACTAGAGAATCATGCTAAGAATCTATAATAGATTAAAAATAGTATTTAAGTTTATATATCATGACTAGAGTTTGTTTTCAAGAAGTACTTTGTATTTTCCTAGTGAAAGATAACCTTCATAGTTGAATAACGATTTTATAATATAAAGAAAACACATATTATTGATAGATTTTGAAGTCACATAGACTAAACAAATATATATCATCATTGTATTGATTAGTTTTGTTGTACGAACAAATTTAATGATCATTTATTGCGGAATTTTTCACATGATGATATAATGACGTATGAGTATTGTGTTAGTTATTACCCTGGATTGTATTCTTTTCTATGTAACACATGTCTAAATATTAAATAAAATACTATTGTAAGCATATAATTTAAAACATTGCTCGTAGAAGTTATATGTGATGTTTTGTTATTTGAATGCGAATAATATATAAATAGAGTTTGAGTGCACGTCGATGAGGATGTTTTTATATATTTATACTTATACTTAAAAAGACTATTGTAATTAAGTTCTTTAAAATTATCTCAAATAAAACTTCGATAAGATCTCTTTCGATACAATATAATGACTTTATTAATACGTTTTAAGGTTATTCGTACAATATTGATTTATGATACTAATAGATATATAATTGGAAAGGAAAATGATTTTAAATGTTTTGTCTACTCTCAAAAGTTCTTTTGCAAATTGTTATTCAAATACCATATGAATAATAAATGTAGATACCAGATGAATAAATAACAAATCAGTTCGTTTTATATAACATGTAAAGCTCTACATATCATTCCGAGGATTATCACAACTATATAATTCTTTAGTATATTTATACAATAAAGAAGAATATAGAAAAACATGTTGTTTATTATTACTAGACTATAAGTATTAATGAGTGGAAATAATATAAGCTGTACAAGTATCATAGCTCAGGTTTTCTTTTTTGAAAAGAAGAAAAAAGAAAAGCTGTGATTATACTGTCTACTTAAAGGATATAGTTTATTAAAAAAAACAACACGGAAAGTATTGTGACTGATCTAGAAATTATTTTTTGTTTTTAACCTTCGTTAAAGATAAATTTGAATAAATAATATTTTTGATTTATTATTTACTCATTCCATAAATAAAAATTATCGAAAGTTCACCTTGACATATAAGTCATGATTTACTATTGAGTCCAAAAACTAATATAATTATTTTGTATATATAATGAATACGAATCTCCCTATCAATATCTTTTCATTTCTAAGAATCAAATAAATGACATTGTTCACATGAGAAGCATCAAGAAATAATTTACTTAATAGTGAAATCTATTGGATATTAACGAAGCCAATCTTTGAAAGTCATGTAAAATATTTTCTCATGTTTTTAATAACCGTATGATATTTCTAATGATTCATGATTTGAAGAAAAAACTTCATAATGTTGTCGGTAGACATATGGAGGAAAAAGCAAATGATATATGCGCACTATTTCTTTTTTCTAATTTATTTCTATTGAATAATCATTGAACTATCTTTGACGCAAATATTTTACTTCCTGTTTAACACTTATAGTATTGTGAAAGAAAGAACATATTTCAGCGATATTAATTAGAGTTAAAAATAAAGTACCCGAGTAGTATATTATTTATTCTTTACTGTATCTATTGACTTTATAATTTTCATGATTATAAATATGAATGATTTTTGCATTTACAGCATGCATGATATTCTAAGATTGATCTCTCATTCAAATCACGATCAGTCTACAATACTGAATTTTATAGAATGAAATTTAAAAAAAAATAAAAAATTTCTCCACACCGGCTGGTAGATTTTTCACCATTGTAATACATTGATGTATTCACGATGAATAGATTCCTGTCACAATTAGAGAGTCTATTTCGTGATTTGTAATACAAAGAGGAAACAATTTTGCATGATAAAGATAACGTATACTTTGATTACTACTATTTTGGCATTATTATATACTTTAAAATAAGTAATCATCTCAACAACGTATTTGATTTTATATAATTACATTTTGATGCACAAGAAGAAGAAAAAAAATGACAGCCGGATGGAACCTTTTGAACTGAAGTAGAATTTCAATTTTATATTAACTTGTAATTAGGAACTATACTCAAGTATAACACATTAGCATATTTTTTTCTATGAATAGACATAGGCATTTCGCATTATGAAGTTATTCATCAGCAGATTTTACTGATGATAAAACAAATGCCAAACAGTACAATTAATATTACATAGATCGTATGCTTGATTCTATTGTAATATAACAATAGTATGATGTATAGCTTTTATTTTACAAAAACAAATTCGTTTATACATAATGATTATGTTTTGAGTAATGATTGTTTTTTTCCCTGTGACATATGGGAGAAAGCAGTAAGTGTTGTTATTTTAGTACCCACTTTTTTAAATCTTGTTGATTTTTTTGGTTGAATTGTTGGTAATTTTAGTGGTATTTTAGGTCTTATATCTGGATCGAATATATTTAAAATATTATGGATATAAACTTTTGAATTTTCTCCTTGAGTGATAAGTTGTGTTGCTATGATATTATCTTGTTGTTGTTGATGAACTTGAATTCGTGGATACCGTTCATGTAAATAACTTAGAAGATGTATCATATTCGATGATAAATATTGCACATTGAATAATTCCATAATTATTAAACGTAATGTTTTCAATTCATTTTGTGGAGTTTGTAATGAAATAATTTCAAAAAAATTTTTATAAGAATATTGTCGAGAAGGAATCGTTTGTTGAAGTTGAATACGTAAATGTTTTAATTTAGGATTTGAATAAGTATATGGTTGACTATAAATACAATTCATATTTTAGGAAAGATTTAAAATAAATATATATATCATACTTGTCATGTTTAATATAATCAAATAGATTTTTAAATTGAATAGAATCTCGAACAAATGGTGATGCATCTGTTTTAGTTAGGTAAGTTAAAACAAGATCATATCGTCCACAGAAAGCAGCTAGAAATACAAATGATTATTTAGATTTAGTTTTAGAGAACTAACCATTTCAAAATAAAATGCCGGTGGGTATTTTTTTCGATAGAAACTAGACGAAGAGTTGCGGATTTCACTGGTAAAAAGAAGCATCGAAACCTTTCATAGTTTTGTAGCTCTTTCTGTGATGGTCCTCGAACGCTCCAGATCATCAATAAATCCATATGCTGTTAATGAGAGACATATTGTTTTTCTAAAAGCTTTCTGTGTAAGCTTAAATGTGTCTTCATCGCTGAAACTCGTAACTCTTCGTTTTGTTCCTCTCGAAAGTTATACAAAACAGTACCAATCCACCTCTTGTTTTGAAATGGGTAGTAGTTCATATTTAGTTTTAAATCTGACAAGGCACTTCTGCGAAGGAAAAGAATCAAACACAAATCTGAACATATTTTTAATGCATTTTTTTATCTATATGTATCGATGAGTAACACACTCGACATAATTCTTACATGATTATATATCAATCAAATTATGCTTATCTTATATTTGTGTCGAGGACAAATATCAAAACTATCCAATGAAAATTCTGTCACTTCAGTTTGAATCCAAAATAAAAGAAATTGTCTTACCTAAAAGTAATGGAGTAAATCCAAAACTATTTCTTTCATCAATATTCATTGCAAATTTCTTATATTTTTCAATTAATTTCTCAATAATTTGTGTATTATTTCCGCCATATAAAATTGCATAATGAAGAATTGTATTATTTTCTTGATCTTTTGTATGAATATTAAGATCAAACGATATTTCATTTAATAAAATGTCAAATAATCGATAACGTTGATAACGAAGAGAATACATAAGAATATTACATCCAAATTGATCACATAGATTTAATGAATAATGACAAGATGTTGAAAATAATTTCTTTATTGTACAACATGCATAATTTTCATCTGAATTCATACATAATTGAATAAGATTAGGACTTTTATGCAAAGTCTTTGATTTATTTGTAGATGTTCTCGATAATGATGAATAAGTACTACAAGACATCTGTTCATGTGATATATTTGCGAGGTACATTTTAATTCACCTTTGACCTAAACAAATAGAAACATTCATTATCTAATCTTTTGAAAAGCAAAAATTGTAAACATAAAGAAATGTGTTAATTAATTTTTTAATATGTACCTTGTCTACCGTATAATATAACATAAATAACAATCTATGAGAATAAATAATTAAATTTAAGAGAAAAAAAAAGAATTATTTTGAAATGTTTTACTTTAATTATGAAATAAAGAAACTATATAAGTGGAAAAAATATATGGCTTTCTTCTATTAAATATTTATTATTTTTATGAAACGAAAATATTATCGATTACTAATAATGTATTTCAAAATCGAACATCAGACAAAATAAGATGTAGACTATGATATAAACATTTTCTGTTGTAAACAAGCTGATTTTATTGATCTATTGTGTTGAGTTATACAAGAAATATTGATTATTAATTATCCGAAAAGAATTTATCAATATTGTCCAATCGAGCATTATTGATAAATTGGTCATTTCATCGCACTTTTTCATCTTATATATAAACATATGGAAATATGGATGAATGAAGAAAAAAATTTTTGTTATTCCATGTCTTTGATAATTAATAGTTTAATAAATCAATGTCATCAAGACATTTCTATGGTTCAGATTGAAAATATTAGTTTTTAACAATTGCTCATATTAATCATAGTATTCTATATAATTTAGCCATAAAATTTACAAAAAAAACATGTTTTTCTGTTTTTAATATTTGACGTTAGCGATATTTCCGATTTATTATTTTACTCTATATGAAAAACTTCTTACATCATTGTTTTTTTTCTTCTCATATATCTAATGAATCTAACATTTACTTTATATTGTATTGTTTTTCTTTCCTATCAATTGTTCTTCGCAGACAACAATTATATTCGGTTATAGATTCATTGTCTAGTTTGTGATTAATAAACTATATATTGTTCAACTATACAAACCACTATTAATAAACGAGTCTAACAAAAATAATATCAAACATAGACATTGAATAAATTAGCATTATGTAACGATGAAATAGTGCACCGATATATTACTAATAGAGTTAAGTTCATATTATGTAACTTTTTTTTTTATTCAAAAGGTAATAAAAAGATTATGTACTCAATTTTGCAAGAATGCCATACTTTTTAATGAAGTCAATATAAAAGCTTACGTTCGTTATTTGATTACCTTTAGAATAAAAATGTTTATTTTCCCAAAACTATTTTATTTTTAACAAAATCAAACCAAAGTCTTGTTCATCTCTAAGAGTTCATGCATAAACTGTAATAACACACAGCAAAACGATAAACAGGTTAATAAGAGTAGAAGTATATCATAATATTAAAACAAAAACAATTTATATATAAAGATACAAGAGATTCTCTTTCAATGAGAATGAAATTTTTTTGGTATTTAAGCAATTATTTCAACATAATTCGATGGAAGTAAACCTTGTTTGCCTGTTCTTGGATGACGTCCTAACATCCAACCAGCATCAATATGTTCACATTCAATAATAGTATCTCCTTCGGTAAAACTTATTTCATCATTTTCTGATGCTGTATATGAATAAAGTGCACGGACTTTCATCTAAATATTAAAAAAAAAAAATTTTTTTTTTCGTTTGATTTTTAAGAACTTACTAATGTTGATTGTGTATCATTCTGTGAATCATGATGAACAATATTTCCATTTCCATTACTATTATTATTTTGTTTGACTTCATATTCTTTGTAATAAAATTGAAATTAATAATAAAGAAATTATTTAATAAACTTACTGGTAGTTTGTATGGCTTTTGATGTTGGTTGATAACCACGAGATAAAGAACCACGATCATCATTTATTGGATCATAATCAGCAACTAGAAATATTTCATAAAACAGAAAACTAAGTTCGCAAGTAAATTTACCACGACCAACTCTTAATTCGGATGATATTTGTTCTCGACAAGATCCATTGTTACCTTTACAAGAAAAAGATTTTTTATAATTAAAAGAAAAAATGTTTTTTTTTCGATTTACTATGAGAGAGTAATTGTGATGAACTATCTTTTCGTTTACCAGTATAGTCAATTTGACTTACATTGCGTTGTTGTTCTTTAGCTCGTGCTAAAACTGGATCATCCGTTACTACTGTAAATTTTCCTTTACTTTTATTAAAATCTTCATGATATTTTGCCTAATCATAATTATATAATCATATAATTTATATTGGAAAAAAAAAGAAATTTACATTGCTTTGAATATCTGTTAATAATCGAATACGTTGCATTTCGGGATTATCACAAATAACGGTTGGTTTCATATGTGGATAATGTCTAAATAAAATCGAGTTTATTAATAATTTTTAAAAGTTATTTATAATACATACGCATGACAATATGGCATTTTCTCGTAACCTTTAACATTTTTTATATTAAGAGTCATTCCACATACTGTACATTTTAAACATCCTTTATGCCAAAACTAAAATAAAATAAAATTATTGATAAATAGAAAATAATGAACGGTGACAGAGATAACTTACTTTATCAAGACATTTTATTTCTTCAGCTGGATATACAACTTTTTCACATTTACCACAATTTTTATTTTGCATAATAGACATAATTTTTAATTATATCTAATCAAAGAAATTAATCTGAAATATATTTTTTTTTGTTATATCAATCAAAGATCGAAATAAATGATAATAATTAAGAATATCAGAATTGCATAATTTCTTTTGTCTTTATCATGATTATTGATCAATAGAACAAGGATTTATTTGATATTTTATATATTCAAATTAATAAATCAATTCTGAAATTTATTTTCTGATAAAATTTTTTTGTACATGTTCAATTTGAGTATACATCCATTGTTGTTATATATATAAAGACAGAACAGAAAGAAAAACTATTGGCGAATAAGCAAATCGCCATTGAACCAGTATTCTCGTTCAATAGTGGTGTGCTTGTCGGCCAATAGTCTTTATTTCTATACTATTGTTATCATACTGATATGGCCGCTGTTTAATAAGTATACACTATTCGATGAGATTCGGTATGCATAAACTAATAAGTTAGTATTCGTTTCTTTTATCTATTTTATAATGAAACAAATTATCATGAAGAAAATATACAATCAGTTATGGTCAATGCTAATTCATATGCTACTTCAACTATATGAAAGTCGCTCCAGAAATGATGAGCTGAGAATGTAGATATGGATATGTGAACTGTCCTAGGTTCAATACCTACATGCACTCACATCCTGTTTTATATTTTTATGTTGAGCTAATCATAGGTAAAGTTCGTCAAGATGAACAATTTGCATTTGTATAGTTGTTTTTTAACTAGAGGCGTAGCTCAACATCAAAAACAAGAATTTGCTGTCGCGGTATAGCATGAGTATATGCTAAAACTAGAAGTGCTATATAGTCAAACATGAAAAGGAGAAGTTACGAATAAAGAAAATTATTTATTTGAAACATTTTCAGATTCAATTACCAATCATTTTGTGGAGTATAAATTTGAATGGTGAGATAGCATACTCAAATCATCAGCATACTTCATCTCTAGTAGAAGTAGTCTATATGAAGATGGTATTGTGAAGACATATGAAGTCGTATCTTGCAAAAGATTCCATTGGTTATACACCTCATAACATATGTTTCAAAAAGTCTATATTTGTTCAACAGATAAATTGAAGCATTTTTGCATGGCAAGTCAGTTTATTTCATGGATAAATCGATTGTTGTAATAAAGGTATTCAGAATATTTTTTTCTAGTAATTCGAGTTATCTGATGGGATAAATCTCAGATATGACAATAATTGAATAAGAATATCAATAATAACAGAACACTACGTTACTTTAATACTTATTTTCTATTTGCAATTAGTTTTTGGTGTTAAATTCTTTCACTACAACATCATCGCATATACCTCTATAACGGTATCCCTATTTTCTTATTACTAACGATAAACTCACTGTATGTATCATTTTTTTGAATACATGCAATATTTCAATTTATCAATATACAGCTTATTTTTAAGAATAGATCTTATATATCAAAGTGCATAACTATGTTGAATAATTTGATTGAAGAAATGAACGACAAATCATTATATACTAGACTTGGAATGAAAAGAAAATCTTGTCAATTTTTTTAAATCGACTTCTCCTAGTTTAAAACTTCATATATTTATCTTAACTAACTATTTACTCATATAATATAATTATGATAAATTGAACGAATCAGTTCTTGATTATTCTAGATGTTTCTTTCAACACCATCTGCTTCATTTAATTTGACAAGTATTGAAAAGAAATTAGCAGCTATTGACTCAGCATCATCATCATCACCATATACAGTTAAAACAACACATCGATTAACAAAAGTTAATAATGAAACAGAATTAGATTCACATTTAAAAAGTGAAAGAGCAGGTTTTAATGATGAACAATTTGAATATCTAACACAACAGGTAATCAAATACTACCATTTAAACTTCAGTCCGTATGAATGATATAGAATCCTAGATGAAAAGCAATTGTATTTTATACTAATAAATGTCTTTGTAACTCAAAGCAAAATTGGTAGAGGAAATAAGACATCAAAATTACGGAGGATTACCAGTATAACTTGTATATCTTAATTTTAGTCATTAACTCAAGCTGATACTGATTATTGGGAAGAAATATTTACAGATAGTTTAAAACGTCGTCGTAATTTAATCAATTGTCTATTAGCTGATGATCTTCGACCTCGTTCAATATCTTCCTATGATTCAGCAGCTGCAACTAAAGTTTGTTTCATTATTATATTTATTCGTATATATTTAAGAATTTTTCTTATTAAATATAGACTAATCAAGTATTAAATGATCCTACAACATCTTCAACTGGTTATGATTTTAAATCAGTGAGTTTAAAAGATAAATTTAATTGTTTACTCTATTTTTTAATATAAAATAATATCATAGGGTTGGATATCACAACAAAATCAAACAACAGTATGCACTGATTTATCAGCTGTTGAACAACAATATGCTCAGACAGTAAGTTGATGCCTTGTATAATCTAAAATAAATTCGTTTTTCTATTTTACTTACATATAGCTTATTAAATATAATCAAACAAGAACATCATCAGGTACTAATGATGGAGATAAATTAATCGTACAATACAAACATGTTGCTAAAACCTATGAAACTCAAGTAATTCGATGATTGATCTCGAGATTTATTTTGCATAATTTTTTCTTTATTCAATTTAAGGTTGCAGCTGATATGTGGCATGCTGCTGAATGGATGTCAGGTGTACTTGATTATGATTATCAAAAAAATGATTTATTTCATGCTCAACGTGCAGTTGTTCTTTGTGCTCGTGATTATCTTGAACGAAGTTTTCGTCAAGCATTAGAAACAACTTATAATGATATAGATTTATATGGATGTTTATTATCATTTATAACATCAAATGAAAAAATTTCTGGTTTACAATCAGTTGATGATCGTCTTGTTGATGGTGTATCAGCATGGCCTCTCATTTTTTATGCATTAAGAGCTGGTGATAATGATCTTGCTTTAAATATAATTCAGAAAGCAAAGTAAATATTTTTCTTAAAAAAAAACATCTTAATTCGAATGATTTTGTTTTTAATTAGTTTACCTCATGTTCGAACTTTACTTGAAACTTATCTCTCAAAAGAACAGACAACAATAGCAAATACTTCGACAACAACTACAACAGCAGCAGCTACAACGACAACTACAAATAAATCTTCGAATATTCGAAATATTGAATATAGTCTTGTTGGAAATCCTTATAAACGGTAAAAGAAAAATTACAAGACAGTATTTTAGTATGTTAGATCAGATATTATGATAAAAAAGCTGTTCAGTTTGAAAAATACGAACTGAACAAAATTTATTGTTCTTCATTAATATATTCTTCGACACAACATCATCAGCTCGTTCGTATTCTCACTAAAAACATCAGTCATTTTGAATTGTATCTACCAATAACTATTAACCTGGTAGTATTATCTTGTGTATTTATTATTTATGATCAGGGTTCTGTAGTTATAAGCCAAAAATGATTTGCTTATTGAAGATAGCCGCATAGAATATCAATACTACTGTTTATTTCGAAACCAAAGATCGGCAGTTATTTTATGAATAATTTTCGATAGGAACAAGATCGAGAGGTACGACTTTCACCGTTGAAAAGAGATACATCGAAACTTATACAGAAAGATTCCTCTATTAGTTCTCGGATGCTCCTGATAATCAATAAATTCATATGCTGTCGATGGGAGATATACCTTCTTTTAAAAGCTTTATGTAACGATTTTAGAAGAAAAGTAAGAGAAATCTTCCTTGATAAGTATCGATGCGTCTTCATCACTCCTTTCCAACAGTGAAAACTACAACTCTGCATCTTGTTTCGGTCGAAAGTTATTCAAAGAATACCCACTAGCCTTTTATTTAGAAATGAGCAGTAGTAATACCATAGTCTACGAATTACATTAGGAAAAAATAATAATTATGAAGTACTGATAATATGCAAGACGTCAAGGATTATCTCTTTGGAGTTATTATTGAATAAAGAGTTTATTACAAACATCAATTTTTTTTTCAAGATCTAGATTAAATCAACTTTTCATAATAAAATGGATAGCTTTCTTTACTCTATCGAATCCTGTATTTTATTTTTAAGTTGAGTCAAATATTTAAGAAAATTATGATTTAATAATAGCCAAATAATCTAACAATTGTTTTTTTTCTTCCTATTTTAGTGCAGTTATTTGTATATTAGATCGAACGAATTTAGTTGATGCACATGAAGATGTTTTATTATGTATTGAAGATTTTTTATGGATAAAATTAGCACAAATTCAAATAATAAATGAAACAGCACTTCATGATCGTACTAATATTCAATTAACTATACCAAGACTTCAACGTTGGATATTACGAGATCTTGGTGAAGAATATTTTAAAGCATATGAACAACCATTTCGATATACACGTATTCTTCTTCTATGTGGTGCATTTGAATCAGCATGTGAATTTTTATTTAAAATACCATCAACAAAAGTTCATTCAATTCATTTAGCAATTTATTTTAATGAAAAATATTTACTTGGATTAACATCATCCATTGATGAATGTATGATTATGATTGCTGGAAGTTCACAACAAAACAAAACAAATACAGCATTAAATTTACCAAAATTAGTTGAATCTTATTTAAAAGAAAAATTAATTCATGATCAACGTCGATATTGGGAATTAATTAATTATGCATATGCATTAATTAATATTGAACATTTAGAAGCTGGAACAGAATTTCGTAGATTATTAATTGATTTAACAACTAATCTAGATGATTTACATATTGTATATGGAAAATGGATTATTGTTTCAGAGAATGATGGAGGAGAAGAAAACAAACTAGTAAAACTTGAAAGAGGTATGAGAATTAATAATTAATCTTAAAGACTAGAATTAATTAGTCACCGAGATGGGATTTCCGAAACTTCGCTAATAAGATATTAGCGAATGTCGATAGTAGTTTCACCAACAAATCCCCTGTACTTCCGCCAATGGTGAAAGTCTTATTGTTGAACGGAGAGTGAACCGCCGAGATACACAAACGAATAAAAAGCATTACCTATTAGATTTCAAGTCTATTTATTATTTTAGGTCTCTTACATCGATTATTCTCTCATCTTGATGATTCTGATATTGACGATATATTAATTAGTCTTGCAACAATAATTGAAGAACATCATCGTTCTCATCTACTTGTTGCATCGGCTCTATTTGAACTTGCACGTGATTATACTTCATCTATACGTCTTGCTTTAGAATATATGACACAAATAATTCATGATCGTTTATTAATATCAACGTCGACATCAACACCATTACCATTCGTTTATGAATTAGCTCAACGTCTTCAAATATTATCAAATCTAAAACAAACTGAAACTAAACAAAATTATTATCTTTTATTAGATATTTATGCATTTGTTGATTATTATCTTCGTATAGGACAACATGAACGAGCTTTTATTGTTTTACGTCAATTAAAATTATTTCCTTATGGAAAAGATTATGATGAAGATGAACAAGTTAGACAATTATTTACATCAAATAAATGGGTAAAAATTTTATAAGTTTATTTTTTCTATTAAATCGAATTTCTTTATTTTATAGCTTCAACAATTATTTCCACATCTCTGTTTAGCTGCTCTTCGTACACATTTAGCAGTTATTCAACAAGGTTCAAATATATCTTTAAATGAAGAAGAACAAAATCAATATGAATTTTATCGTCGTACAGCACCTATTGACTTAATTCATCTTGCTGAATTTGCTCATATGCAATCACAATTATTTACCCGAACTCAACTACGTTCTATTGATCGACTTTGTGAACAAGCAAATCAATATCATGATCAAGATATGGAATTTCATTAATTAATAAATTTAAACTTTCTTTTGTGATTATTTTCATTGGTAAATAAAAATTAGGAAAAATGTCTTTGAAACATATCGAGTTTTTTTTCTAATAGACAAGAAAAATATCATCTACTTTTTTATCGATAGTTTACATATCAGTTAACTGTTTCTTATTTAATAGCATACATGAAACGTTCATTGTTTTATAATTCTTCTTTGTCTTTATCTAGTGAAGATGTACCCATTTTATCATATACGAAAATAAATAAAGGTGAACAAGTATAGAAAGGAAAGAAAGGAGTCATCTAAATATGTATCGATAAATATTAAGTGGATATACTCATTGTCTTATTCACTATAGTCGAATATAAAAAAAATATCATTCGTTCTACGATCCTACGTATCATGTTTTTATCTAGTTTATAGAAACAATAGTTATTCTCTTGTTCTATAAATATATTTTCATCAACAAACAAATATTCATTGAAATTAATTGTGTAACTTCTATAAATTATTGGTTCAAATATTCTTAACATGGAGAATACTACAAACACTACAACTACTACTACTACTACTACTACTACTCCATCTCCACATGTTTATCAAGTGGTTGTTGGCTGTATAGCATTTTTTCTAATATTACCATTTGTTTTAGTTCCTATTACACGTTATCCATTAGGTAGTACAGGAGCTGTCTTAGTTGGTGCTTTTCTTATGGTTGTTACTACTGTTATCGATCAAACACGTGTATATACTGTTATTGGTGATATGAATAATTTAAAAACAATATTTCTTTTATGTGGTATGATGGCAATTTCATCATATTTCGAACGTGAACGTTTAATTGATTTTTTATTCAATAAACTCTTTCCACCAGGACTTAAATTTCATTGGTGGTTATTACGTTTAAGTATTATTGATTCAATTGTTGCTGCTTTATTTACTAATGATGTTGCTTGTGTTATACTTACACCATTAATATTAAATAAATGGATTGAACAAAAACGAGATAAAAGTGAATTAAATACTTTACTTTTAACTCTGGCTACACAAGCAAATATTGGTAAATTAAATAATTTTATAGTTATTTAAAGGAAATTCTACTGAATATATTTAGGAAGTACTTTGACTATTTTTGGTAATCCTCAAATGGCTTTAATAGCATCGAAATCAAATGTTTTTGTTGATACTAATAGTCGATTCGAACTTAAAACTTGTGTGGAATATTTATGGATACCAACATTTATTGTTTGGTTACTTAATTTAATTTTTCTTTTTACATATCATCATTTAATTCAATGTCGAAGGAAAAATCGAGCATTACCAGAAGATACTTCAAGTAATATAAACGTTGTTGATCAAGAACAGGTAGAAGAAGACGAAGAAGAAGAACAACAACAACAACAATCGTCAGTCGCTGTTACTACAGAGATAAAGAAATTACCTCGATTTACTGAACGTTTTCGACTTAAACGATTGGGTAATAATACTGAACAGATATCATCTAGATTATCAACAACATCACCAGTTAAAATCGATCGAAGTGTTTCAATTCCTTCATTTTCTAATTTTGATCTTATAAGTAACGCAGATGAAAAAGATTTTCAGCCATCTGAATCTCGACTCTTCAAAAGTATTCTTTTCATATTATTAATTACTGTTATTGCATTATTATTTGCATCAAATGATAAAGTTTATTTTGATATTGGTATGTTATTTAATATTAGAAAATCGAATATTTAATTTTATAATTTTTATTTAGGTTTGATTCCAATCGCTGCAGCTATCATATTATTTGTTGCGGATACTCTAATTAATCATCGACCTCCGACAATAATTCTAATGCGTATTGATTGGAATGTTCTTCTTCTCTTTTTTGGTCTCTTTGTTTGGCTTGATGGACTTAATTCGACTGGTATTCCACATAAAATATGGTATGTTTTTATTCAAAAAAAAAAAGATAACAACAACAAATAATTTTATTTTATATAGGGTAGCACTTAAACTTAATTCAGCATCATTAACCGATATAAAATCACTTTTAATATTCTATATATTTACTCTTATTGGTAGTAATGTTTTTTCTAATGTTCCATTAACTTTATTAGTTCTTGAACAAGTTCCACCAACAGGTGATCATCTTAGTTTAGTCTTATATCTTGCTTTTATTACAACTATCGCTGGTAATTTAACTCTATTTGGTAGTGTTGCAAATCTGATTGTTGCTCAAAAAGCTTTAACAAGTTCACTGCAACATAAATTTGATTTTTGGACTTATCTGAAATTTGGCTTTCTAACAACGATTTTATTAAGTCTTGTTGGAACATTTATTATTTATGGTTTACTTCGTGTTATTCATTAAGATTTATTTTCTCTAAGATTATATATAAGAGAAAAAATATAAATAAAATTATATTTCATCTCATATTGTAAATACATCAATGTTTTGTTTTAGTTTTCTATTCACATTCTGTGGTTTCTACTTTCACTTATCTGTCATCTTTTTGAGTATCTCAATATCTATTCATGCTAATTATTTATATAAAAGCCTTTCAAATAAAAAAAAAGGAAATATAAATTACTATCATTTTAAAATAATAACAATTTTACTTACGTTTTCTTTTTTGTGTTTATTTAGAGATACAATATTACATCATGATTGTCTTTAAAATACTTTCATAGTGCGATGAAGTATATCATATAAAAGAAGATTCTCTACTTTTTGAACTATTTATAATAAAAGTACAAATTATGTTGAATAATAGATAAATTCATATGCTATTGATGAGAGACATACTGTCTTTTTAAAATCATTATGTAACGACCTTAAAAACGAAGATAGAGAAATCTTGATGATTCTTTATCGTTTCTTTCCAAGGGTGAAAGCGCAGATATTCCGTCTTTCGCTTTGAAATGAACTGTATTATCTATCAGTTTCACATCCGACATCTGTGATTATAATCAGAATGTAATATAAGATAGTATAGCATTAAAATGAAATAAACGAATGAAATGCAATAATAGTGTACGCTTCAAGAGGTAAAAAAAAATTAAAAACAAATGAATTCACAGGAAAAAAAAACATTTAAAATGAAAGGAAATAGAAACACTTTATATAGAGTTCACTATGATGTTGTTTCTTTGCCATGGGATACTGTAATTCATGTATCTTTTTATTTATGAAGAGATGGCATATATAAATGAGAAAAAAAAATAGACGACATCATTTATCTTAAAGTACGATTTTATTACGCTAAGATGTGGAAAATTGTTTTATTTTACATTACCTGTTGTCGATTAGTATTAACCATTCGTATTAATATAATTAATAATGCAGTGTTTGATCCAAATAATGTTAGTTATATACTGAATACTCTTTCTGGTATTCAGTCACTGGACTCTTGTATTTGTCAATGCGATACGAATTCAAACTGCACCATCATTAATTACTATGGTCTTAATCAAACATGTATTCTTTTCTCAGCACAATTATGGCAAGGAAGCCTACGTGTAGTACCTACCAATAAAATAATCACTCTTGTGATTTATGGAAATACAAATTCTACAAGTAAGTATAAACAAGGAGGATTGAAATCATATTTCATAACATGAAATCAAATATTGTATAGTTCTGCTGAATAGATACATTTCATTTGAGGTTAGAAATACGTCAATTTATTATTTTTTCTCAAGTTCTTAAAAGTATATCTATCTTCTGTTATAAATTAACATCGTAAAATAGTTACTATTAAACAAATAGTGGAGGGTTAAAAACGTCTAGAAACCATTATTTTTCATTGTAATAAAATTGTTTTATCTAAGATAACCAAACATCAATAACATAAAAATTATATACACTATCTAGCAACGAGTACAGTTTTAAAATCATATAAAGACTCAATTAAAATGACTAATCATCAAAAAATCTTGTCATAATCATAAATAGCTGTTGATATAAAATGAAAAGTGTCTTATAAACTGGTATTACTGTATTTTGCTTTCTTGAAGATGTTACTTCAACATATACCTCTACTTCTGTATCTATAACTACCGCCAGTAAGCAAATTAAAAATATTTTCTATTTCTAATTTGTTTTGTTCTTATAGATATGTCATGTATTCCATCAACAAATTATGTTCTCAACTATACAACTTCACCACTCAGCTATACACAACAGATCTATAATTTTACAGCACAGTATAGTGGCTTTGCAACTTTAGAATTTGGTTTCAAGGCAAAAAATCCAGCTTTCACTTGGCATCTTGATGATGTCAGTATCATCGATACAAGTGCATTAAATATTGAAATGCTTGTAAACGGTAATTTTGAAAATGGTACCTTAATTGGCTGGCAAATATTATGTTCAAGTAACAATTGTGGAGGAACAGGTAGTAGTATAATGCAAACAACGTGTCACACAGGCTCATTTTGTTATGAAGGGACATGTGCAGGCAATTATGATTATTTACGTCAGTCCTTTTCCATAACAATCGGACACATTTATACATTAAGCTTTTGGGTATACACTGATGGACATATTGATCAAGCTGCTTATGTTAATATCAGTTAGACACTAGCCTTTAACTTATATTTATTTGAATAATGTGACGTTTGTTTTTAATAAATTTCATGTGAATATTTCTGTACTTTTTATTTTCACATTATCTAATAAATATTAAAATATTTCACTTTATTTATTTTTAATACCAGTTTTGGTTCGTTATAAATACTTTAATAACTTGTATTTTAATAACAGACAATGCACTGTAAGATTTTTAATCTTTCATTATGTTCCTTTTGTGTCACATGGGAAGTTTATAAATCATATGATTTTTTTCTTTAGTTTTTTTTCCATTAAATATTGCTTAACAAGCTGAATGTGAACAAGTTATAAGTTATTTTAAAATATTAATGAGTTTGTCAATTGCTGAAAAACAATTTTTCAATAATAAACAATTGTTTTTAAACGCTTCATGTTAAGCTTTTTACACAGCATATCGTTTTACTCTTATTTAGAGTATTATATTCTCATGATTTCTTGTGAGAATTGATCGAAAAAAACATCAATAGATGCAATATTTATGTATTTCTTTGAGTTTTTTTCTACTAAATATTGATCAAAACTGAAAATAAATATTGAATAGCAATTTAAAATTTCAGTTTATTTAGAATATCAATATCCATTCAATAAAAAGTAATTGAAAGATTTAACTATAGCATTTTAAAGAGCTGCACGAAATTCAGCCATTGAAAAATTAGGATCAATTTTGCGACCTAATGGTGATGCAACTTCTTTGTGACCCATTACACGTGCTGCTGGTACATTAAAAGCAGTCCTGAGAGCTCGAACACCACGTAAATAACTTTGATATTGTACTTCGGGCCAATTAGTATGTCCAGTATTTGTAGCTGGTAAACCTACTCCTTCTGCTTCAATTCCAATAGCATTTGCATTTGAATATAATGAAGTATCAGTAACAACACCAGCATGATAAGAAAGACCAGCGGCGATGACATACCACTTACCAGTACGACCCAATCCGAGCTGTGAAAGTGGACCAGCAAGACTTGCGGTACCATCTCTAACAACATTTAATGAGGGAAAATCACCTGTAGCAGGACCAGCTGTATGATGACAAATAATACTCTTAACAGCAGTCATTTGACCATGACCACGTGTTGTCCAACCGGCAACTTCAACAACGTCAAGTCCAGCACCACGAAGAATCGTAGCTAGATTAGTTAACATTACTCGTGACTGTACACCATTATTCTCAGCAATTGTAGCATTTGTTACAAAAGCATCTGTAGTATGAATCAAAAATAGGCAAGCGACAGCAGATAAAAGACTGACGACGTGCATAATAATACTTGATTGTCTACAGAAGAGAAAATAGTCTATGATAAAATTTATTTCATCATGATTGATAAATTGCCTACCTTAATTGTTCTAATACCTATATATGATTTAATGAATAGCGTTTTTATATACCTATCGACAAGAAAAAATATCGGATTAGAAAGAAAGAGAAGACAATATTTAAAAATAAACCTGCAATAGATTTTAAATATAACAGGTGGATTACTAATCGCACTAGTTGCAAATTTAGTATTAAATGCTTTCTAGACTTGACACATTCATTTTGCTATTTTTCTTCTGTCTTAAATTTCAATTCAATTTTATTAATAATTTCATTTGAAAGGATAATTTGATATTTATCTCCATTACATGTAAGTTAATACCTTCAAAATATATTTGAAGAACAAATGTATATGATTTGATAAAGAGAAAAATAGTGTTTTATGAATATGAAATTCGTTTATACTGAAATGATATATGATATTTGATTAGCTACAAAATTCTTAGATATAATTTCATTTAATATAAAATAGAGAGCCGGAATTTGCTTATCTAGAAATCATTGATTTGATGAATTGAGTTTTTTGAAAATATTTGCAACATAAAATGGACTTCCATCAAAAGGAACAGAGCGAAACTTCATGTAGTTTAAAACTTTTTTGAAGTATACACTCTTATTCTCTTCACTTGGTTTAATAATGATGAAATAATAAAAAATAAATATAGTAGAATCGATAAATACTGTTTTTATTTATTGTAAAGTTAAATTTCAGACATAGGAATTGATCTGTATTTGTTTGCTGTTCGATACATGAATTTGAATATAAAATTAGAAATAATAAAGCTTTTTTTTTGTAAATACAAATATCTTTCATATGACTATATCAATTTGTTGTGCTTTTCTAATTCTATAAGGGATGTTTATAATTATAAAAGAATGTTATTCATAAATATATTGGCTAGATGCATAATATCAATTTTAAAGATTAAGTTTTATAGTTACTTATAATATTTTAATTATATTTTCTATTACTGCCTTTAATAAATTTATATAAAAATAAATGAGGTTATAGAGCGAAACAGATCAGTTCATGTAAAGCGTTGTCTACTGACAGTAAAGAGACATTTCCAATATATAAAATGCAACACGTAAGAGAAACGGCGAGAAAATAAATGAAGAATGTCAAAAAAGACACTAATTTTGTCTTTTCTGTAAGAAAAAAATACAAGGATGCGCAGAATAAATCATGGGATGGAACAAACATTTTTTCATTCTTTGTAGAAGGTAGAGGTATTAGCACGTCTCGTCAATAACATTTTTCTTTTTTATATAAACAAGTTGTGTTTTTTTTCTTATCTATTCCATAATTATCTAAACGTATTCAATTCAATACCATATCATATTTTTCGAATACAATGTTAAATCTTCCATTAACAAAAAAACAAAATTTATCTGAATGTCGAATCTGTGGCGCTTCTGCTCAATATGTAAATTTTGGAACTACTTCATGCAATTCATGTAAAATGTTTTTTAAACGGAATGCTAATATTGACCAAGTTAGTTTTGATTATCTTTTTTTAATATTTAAATAAGAACTATTCGTATGATTTAGAAAACATTTCGATGTAATTATGGTGGCTATTGTGAAATAAAACGAGATAATCATCATATGTGTGCATCATGTCGACTTAGGAAATGTTTCCAATATGGAATGACTACTGACAAATTTCGACCATCAAGACTAACGAAATCAAAAACAAAATCATTAGTTAAAGTAGAATCACGAAATCAATCAGAAAAAGTAAGATAATATAAATATACGAAATATTTTTCTTATTTATATTTTTAGTTATTACTAATAAATTCTTTAAAACCAGATCATTCATTATTGACTACTAGTCAATGGATACTTCTCTCAAATTTATATAATAGTTTTGATGAATCTCAAGTTTCATTACTTAGTAAATCTTTAGTAGATACACATAATTCTTTACAGCCGATAAATGTAAAATATCAAAGACTTGTAGAAAATTATTTCTTATCTCTTTATGAAGCAACAAGAACATATCTTTGTTTGAATGATGATATTTGTAAATTATCATTTACTGATCGTTCCATTTTACTTCGTAATGCTGCAGATAATGTATCTTGCATGGCGTCTGCATTTATTGTACATCGTTCTGGTTTACTTTGTCTAGATCCTTTTTTGAAAATTATGACTACAATGTTTGACAATCGTGGAATCTCTCTTACTCGATGGACAATGAAATTTATCAATCCAGATATTGTAATATTTAAATTAGCACTTTCAATATTTGCTTTTTCAAAAACTAATTATTCATATTCTCCAAATATTACAATAGATTCCACAAATTCTTCTACAATATTTCATATTCAAAATAAATATGCAGAAGTTACATGGAAATATCTTAATTATAGATATGGTTGGTATGAAGCTATTAAACATTTTCATAGCATCATATATTGGCTTATAGCTTTGACAATGCTTATGGACGATGTACAAAATTTTAGTAGACATGTTGATAGTGTTGATTCACTTGTTGAACTAACTGAGCTTACACTTATACTAGATGATGTTGAGAAAATAATAGATACAAAATAGAAGTCAACAGTTTGTATGTTATATGTGCTTATTGTCGGTCTTATAGTTGAAGCTTTAATATATGAAAACAGAAATAAATTCAAAGTATATTTATCCTATAATATTAATCAAATCTTTATAGAATATCAATGAAATAAAAATATTTTATTAAGAGTGTATGGTTTATACCTTATCTTTTTGTGAAAATCTTAATCGAATACGAAGATACATTTACGTGTATACGTACGTATTAAAATTTTCATTTCATTATTATGCTCAAATAGATATTGACTGTTGTAGTTGGAAAGTCATGGTTCTAACAGAATCAAGTCAGATAGTATTCTAACTCGTATGTGTATCGATATGTTACACATATACAAACTATTAACAGTCGTATTGATTCGTATTAACAATATTGTTGAAAAAGTTCATCTCGTTCGATTACAATTTAGTCTAATGAATTCGTTGTATGCCAAGAAAACGTTCACAAACCAAATAGAAGTCAATCTAAATAAATAAGAATTCTGATTTACTCTCAAAAATGGCTATAATAAAAGTTTAAGCATTAAAATGACTTGGATTTACTAAGTTTTTCTTTTGTATTATCGACAAAAACAGATAAATATGCAATGATCAATATTAAAAGATAGGAAATGTTTTCATTGGAATATTTATTTACAAAAACTACGAAAGATATTGTAATAATTTAGGTAAAATAGCAATAGCTTGATCACGTACATGATAGCGTACAACATGTGGCACTTCAGTATGGTCTGGATTAATTTCAATTATAATTGCATTTTTACGTGCAGTGCGTAGCGCTAGTTCAGCAATGTGTAGGAATACGCTAGGTATGCCAATACTAATAACAGCATCTGAATCTCTGTTTATTATTTGGTAAAGTTACGTTACTGCGTGCATTAATGGCATCTCAACAAATAAAACGAAACGCTATCATACGAGTGCACCACATCGTTCACAATCTGGTGGTATTTTGATACTTTCGAAACTATAATAACATGTTTCTCATAATTACAAGAAATACAAAATAGGTCTTGAATATTTCCATGAATTCCTTTTTAATGGAGTTTAATGATTAAACTCTGAATTTTGAAAAATAACAAACTCGATATCGATACAGATACTACACTAGCAAAATCTCATAAAAACCCTTCAGTGGGCACAAGTTGATAGTGGAGAAAGTGTGCACTAATCTTGTAACAATAAGACATCCATTAGAGCATGAAAAATAAACTATAATAGAAACTTTTCCCATGAGATCAAGCCTATCTAGGCCTTTATACGGCTTAGGGTGTGGGTGTGGGTGTGGGTGTGGGTGTGGGTGTGGGTGTGGGTGTGGGTGTG